AACAAATCCCAGTTTGCCAAAAAAAATTATTGGACCTCTCATTTTGTTTGTTGTTGTTTAGTCGTTTAGTCGTGTCCGACTCTTCGTGACCCCCTGGACCAGAGCACGCCAGGCACTCCTGTCTTCCACTGCCTCCCGCAGTTTGGTCAAACCATTACTTGGACCTCTGTTATTCTTACATTCTTGGACCTTCATTACTTGAAATTTGTGAGACCACCAAACCTGAACTGAGCTCACAACCCTTTCACGCAAAATCCACTTTGGTTATTTTACCCACCCCAACTTTATTCATTTCAGCGGTACGCTGAAATTTTGTATTTTTGTGCTAGCAGGGGAAGGATCTTGTCATCGCCACTGTAAAAAAAGCAACAGCCGAAAACCCCTGCCCAAGTACTTCAAATCAGTCTGGGCATCTGCCAATCAATTATTTAAAAAGGAAAGAAAAAGAAGAAGAATCTTGCACAAATAAGAAGTTCCTTAAGGCAGGGGGAGGGAAGAAACTCACCTTGTTCATAATTGCCAGCAGTTCACTAAGCACAAGACGGAGGCGCCGTGGAGAATCGCTGTGTTCAAACTCCAGGGTGAGGCCATGTTGCAGCTGAGACACCAAGATGCTCTCACCACTACCCCCTCCAAGCTTATGCCTAGCAAGGATAGAAACACAGCTGATCAAACAGACTGAAGGAGAACATCCCCCTCCAGAAATGCCTCACCCAGGGCTAGAAACTTGTGGCCCTCCAAACACTGCTGGGCTTCAACTCCCATTATCTCTGATTATTGGGCTGTGCTGGCTGGGGCCGATGGGAGACAGAGTGCACACAATATCTGGAAGCCCCCTCAGGTTCCCAATCCCGGGCTTGCTCCTTTTAGTTACCTAAGCTGTTGTTCCTTGTTGGCATCCTGTTCCAAAGCGTGAAAGTCCACAGACAGCAAGGCTACGATGGAGTTGACAGCTTCCACTCCAGAAAGCAAGCGAAGGATCAGCTTTTTGTCCTGGGCCCAGCCCTGACTCTGATCTGCCGGGGCACACAAGGCCATCCGCACCAAGCAAGGCAGCAACAACCGGAGCTCTGGATCACTCAGGGCCGCTAAGCGCACGACGTCTACTTTCTGCATGGCTTCAAAAGCATAAGGGCTGACGAACTGCAGTGCCGAGCAGTCCGCCATTTCCCCAGGTGACTTGAAACCACAATACCGCAGGGAGCTAAGCGGGCAGTTGCTGGGTCAGGTGGCAGTCGGATGAAGATCCAAAATTCCAGGAAATTAATTGTTAGTCAGCAGGTGCTAGTATACGGTTAAATCTTAGGGACTAGCAGCTTTAGGGCAGGAGTTTTCAGAGGCAGCAGCCTACCTCAACAGATGCACGTAGACAAAGAAACGGCTAGTTTCATCTCTAAACACAGGCTGCAATTCCCTGTAGGATAAAACAAATCAGGACAATAAGAATACAATGTGCAACAGTAATACAGGAATGCAGAACGCTCTCTCATGAGTTTATGTCATGAGTAAATAGCAACCACCTGAGGAACAAAATATACTTTGTCCAATTATCCTAATTTTTTAAGGCCCTGGAATAATCTTTCTCTAATTGTTGTGGTAAAGATGGTTTGTTTAGGGTGATTTACTGGATTCCCCTGAAACCGAGATGCTGATGCATGGCGGTGGGGGGACTAAGCAAGTTTTCAAGCTACACTAAATGCTTCCTCCCTGAAGCATTCTGCAGAACTCCAAAGCCTTCTACATTACCCTGTCAAAGCTAATAACAGCATCATTTATGCTAAAAGTTTCCCTTGGAAGGTCAGTGCTACATTCTCTCTAGCCCAAGTCTTATTGCAACTAATAATAATGCAATCCTAACCATGTCGATTCAGAAGGTGCACTGAGTTCCACGGGGCATACTCCCGGATAAATAGGGTTAGGACTGCAGCCAAAGTCTGGACTAATTACAAAAACCTCATATTCTTCCCCTATTTATCCCAGTCACTGTTTCCCCCCATTTGTCTCTCATGTGCCTATCTGTAGATTGTTAGTGCTCCTCTCATACTTTGCGAAGCATCTGGATGGAGCTTTATCAATGAAAAGTTACTTTACAACAGCATTTTAAATGAGCATGCAAAGGGCAATCCCCTCCCTCCTTCAGTTAGGGGTGCAAAAAAAGGAGGTGGGGAAATTAGGCAAAGGCTGAGAGGTAGTGTCGCATAGTGGCTAGAAAGTGCCTTCCCCAACCTGGTGCTCCTCCAGACGTTGCTGAACTACAACTCCCATAATCCCTGACCACTGGCCATGCAGTGGCTGATGGGAGCTGGAGTCCAACAACACCTGAAAGGCACCAGGATGGGGCAGGCCGAGTTAAAAGTGTCGGACTGAGAAGAGCCACGTTTAAAATCCTCGCCCTGCCATGGATCCCGTTGGCTGGTCATAGCCAAGCCAGCCATTGTGCCAACCTGACCTACCTCACAGGGCTGTTAGGGAGATAAAACGGGGAGGAGAAGAGCCATGTAGGCTACCAGAGGAAATGCGAGGTATCCATAGAATATAATAAACTGATAAATAAATGGCACTGAAGGAGCAAAAGCAGGAGAGCGATAGAGGAAGCGGGCTGTGCCTAAGGAAAGGACCCAGGCGTCTCAGGTAAATGGGAAAAGGGGGGGAAATGGGAAGCCAGGTGTCCAAGCCCTACCTAGGAAAGAGAAGCAGACCCACCTGCCCACCCCGACCCAGAAACAACCACACACCTTCGTACACAACCTTATGACACTACTTCCGGCAGCGTAGCGTCATTTCCTCCCAACAGTAGCCGGCGCCAAGCAAGCCGGGCAGCGCCCAACTTCCGGCGCGGAGAATGACGACAGAAAGACCCGCCTTCGCGAGGGCGGAAGTGACTTCATTCACGCTCTCCTCTATTTCCGCCCGGAGTTCAGTGCTTTGCCCGCCTGTAAGACAGCAGCAAGGGGCTAGCCCTTGTTGTTTTAAAGCGTTTATTCAAAAACGAGAACTCTCCCAAGGTGACTTAGAAGGGAGGAATGATTCTGGGCTACAGCCAACATCTATCATACTCAAGAGTAGATCCATGTAAATTAAAAGGACAGGACTTACGTTGCTTCCTTCATTTCAGTGGGTATGACTTTTAAGTTGGATACGATCCCACTCTAAATGTAACAAAGCTAATAAAAAAGAAGCAAATAAAAAAGAAGTAGTAGATGCGGATAACAGCTTGTCATCATTTAAAATTGAGTCATTTTATGTTATTAATACAATTTATTTTACACGTTTATTCTATGCCTTATTATCTGTATAAATGTAATGATAAATGAGAAGGGCAGCAGTCCAGGGTGAGGTGTGGTGTAGAGAGTGGTAGTTGTGAAGATGAGATATCACTCCATTTCCGGTTTATTCCGGAGAAAAAAATGTTCCTAAGGATAAAGGAGCCACGCAGGTTCTTTCCATGTGATGGCTAAATTTCAAGTAGCAAGACACTGCAGAAACGAGAGAGGAACATCTCAAGGGATCGTGGGTGCCTAAGCCTAAAAGTAGCTGATATTTTTGTCCTCCATTCAGGCCATCAGAAACTTAAAAGTACTTTATATATGGACATAATAAAGGCATATTTTAGTTCAGTTATGGTGGAACTGTTGCCCTCCAGCTCCTATCCATCCCAAGCAGCATGGCCACTGAGCAGGGATGATGGAAACTGAAGGTCAACAACATCTGGACAGCCAAAGGTTTCCTATCCGTGTTTTACTCATTGCTGCTAAAATGCTGTTTTTAACATTAAAAATATGATCTACTTTGCCACACTATTTTGAGTAGCGCTTTGTTTAGGGGGGTGGCTGCCTTCTGTCCACCTTGCGTAAGAGAGAGGATGCAGAAGTCACAATGTGTTAGTTTATAGGATCCTCTTTCTAACTCTGTCACCATATGTCTGAGCAATGACAGGAGAGAAAGATACATGAACAGCTTTGCATAAATCAGTGTGTTTTATTCTGCTTTTGCTCGATACAATCGGGGAAAAGAGAACTGAATCTCTGACTTTGGGAAAATTTTATTCACCTCCCATTCTGAGGCTCCACCAAGCATTTCAGGAAGATCTCTGTAATGTAACCAGAAAGGGCTCTGGGCTTTTAAAAAGCAGGATTCTGTGCCATCTGATCTCACGTGTGGCTGGCTACTTCTTACCTGGTGGCTTTTAAGAAGTGCAGGGCTGGCCATGTTCTACCTCCACTGAGGATAAAGCTATCTATATCTACTAGCTATGAAGGCTATGTCTTACCCCCCATCATCAGAGGCAGAGGCTTGTTCTGAGAACAAGTTTCTATTCTGCTTGTGGGATTCCTATAGGTATGTTAGCCACTGTGAGAACAGGATGCTGGGCGAGGTGGACCTTTGTTCTTACCCAGCAGGGCTTCTCTCACTGTCACTAGGCCCCAGTGGCGAGTATTATGGTGTCAGTGTGGTGTGCTGCTTAAGAGCATGGGTAGGCAAACCTAAGGCCTGGGGGCCAGATCTGGCCCAATCACCTTCTCATCAGGAATCAGCGTGTTTTTACATGAGTAGAATGTGTGCTTTTATTTAAAATGCATCTCTGGGTTATTTGTGGGGCATAGGAATTCCTTCATTTTTATTTTTCAAAATATAGTCCAGCCCCCCACAAGGTCTGAGGGACAGTGGACTGGCCCTGTGCTGAAAAAGTTTGCTGACCTCTGCTTAAGAGTGTCCAAGTAAGACTAGGGAGATCCCAACTCTCAGGCTGCAAAGGCCACTGAGTGGCTTTGGGCCAGCCGCTAGCTCTCTCAGCCTAACCTACCTCATAAGGAAGTTGTGAGGATAAAGTGAGCGAGGGATCAAGTATGAATACTGCCTAGACTGAGCCTAGTGGAATGAAGATTGGATAAAAATGCAAAGAAAAGAGGATTCAGGAACCAACCCATACAGACAACTGTCACTTTTAAGGTCATGTGGAGTTGTTGTTTTTAAAAAAACAAAGAGACGTCACAATGAAGGAAGGCTTCATGAATAATTTATTCCATTTGAATTTTTTTTAAAAAGTATAAACCTTTTTCCATTTCCTCAATCACAATTTGTACAACTCAGTGTTCATGGCATTCTGCAACAATAGTGTTTGTTCCTTATTTTTATTGTATTTTTTGTTATCATAATGTTAAATAAAGAGAGAGAGAGAGAGAGAGAGAGAGAGAGAGAGAGAGAGAGAGAGAGAGAGAGAGAGACTTGGACCATTAAATGTCACTGCTGAATACGAACTTAAGAAATCTCCTCTTCCTCCCCCTGTTAAAGTGACCCAGCTTTTTAAAAGAACATTTATGAAACCAACATGTCCAGTAACGATGCCACAACTTTTAAAACGCAAGTAAGTGTTTCCAAGGTTCTCAAATCCAGTTTATTTGGAAAACCTACTAATTATACACTAAAACTTTCCTGAAAAGTTTGACCCTGAGGATTAACTTTTTCAAAGTGAAATTTTACTCCTTTAGAAACAGATGCAAAGAAAAGGGTATTTTCTACATGTGATTTGGGATCCTTAGACTGAAATTATTTTCAAAGGTGATAACATTTTGTCATCTTGAGAAATTTATTTTTATTATTATATATTTATTTTGTGTCAGGACAGCTAATAGCAGAATTGGCCTAATTGACAAAGCAAGCTGACAAGAAGGAAAACCCAGCCCAAAGCAATGCTGTCTGCATACATGGCTAAGAATTAACAAAATAATAGTCTGTGCCAAAGCTAGTTGCAGGGCACAAGGGCAGTTTGAATAGGATCAAAATCCGAGTGTTTTCCAGTAACACATTTTGATATTGCAGTAAAGACAAAATATGCTTCATTAAACACACCTGTGAGCTTTCTGTAATAATGCAGGGCTTTGAAAAATAAGTTACCAAGAGCAGACAAATACAAAAAAAGGAGTAAGTTAACTGTGCCATACAGATGGATGTGTAAGATGAGAGGTTTAAGAAACCACTTGCAGAAAAGGGTGTGCATCTAAGGCCACAACTGTGGAAACCAAGCAATTTGAACAGAAGTTATAGCTCACGCTGGCTAGGTATTTGCAGAAATGCTACCACCTCAGCTGCCTTCTGACCATCCAAGTGAAGTATGCACATGCCCTGTGAATTGATAAATCAGCACTACTAATGAATTAAGAAGTCAATGAGGCCTGCGAGGCTTTCCCAACCTTGGCCATTTCATCAATTTAAAGCTGTCCACAAATGGAAAGATAGATGCCCATGTTTCAACCTCCTAGCCTTTTTGAAAAACATTCCAATCCTTTCTATGTTTTAGCTCAAAATGAATTTTCTCTTTTCTGTCTAGGGAGGGGGAGAGACAGAGACACAGAAAGAGACAGAGACAGAAAACTGTGAGTTTTAGATCTTGGCAAGCTCTGGCAGGTGGCACTCTGACCCAAGCATTACTTTCATTTGCAAGATAAGACAGCATCCAAAATCGGGGTAGTCCTACACCAAGGTGATTTGGCAGTTCTGCTATTTAGTGTTTTGCAAGCCGGAACACCAGTTGTGAGCCTTAACAAAATGACACAGAAATCTCAGCATTTCAAATGGATTCACACAGAAATCCTCAAAGCATTGTGTAGCCTGTATGGGACAAAAAGAAAATTGAGGCAGAAGCCTTTGGATGGCTTATAAGGAAGAACTATTTATTACGAAGCAATACTATAGCTCAGTGAGAATAAAGTTAAATAACCTTTCCATAGGTACAAGATAATGCCACGTGGGGTTGTGCTTTGATAGTTTTAACCCGAAATGTGCTGGGGATTTATTCACGATAAACTGTTTCCAGCTGTTCAAACTTCTTTCCTCTGCCATTTACTTGAGTCCAGACAGGTCCATCAACAGCTAACCCTAACCCCAACATCCCTTGGATGCTTCCATGGCAATTACTTTAAATCTGATTTCTACTGGCATCTTATTCCTTAAGGCCAATTGTCCCACCACCGTGCGATGATCATTTAAACAGGTAAATGGCAGAATCTCTGGGCAACCTGATCTTCCTGAAATGGACCTACCATGAACTTGGCTCCCTAGTCAACCACACACAGTCCATTCTGGAGTTTTGAGGACTTCTGTGCAATCTCAGTGCTACACCCAAAGTCATGGTCCAGCCAAAGTGCATTTAAGTTCCACTGGTTTAAGTGGGGAAGTTTAAGCACACATTTAAAGCTCTCCGACTGAACTCCCATGAGGCTTGGAAAGTACTTAATGCTGGCTGACTCATATTCTGCTCTAGGCAAATAATTTTAGCACCACTCTTTAGGGAGGTGGAAACATCTGGAGAGTATCTGCCGTTAACAGATACTTGAATATCAAATACAGGTGTACACAGAGAGAAAATGCAATGCAATAAACAGCAGAAATGTAAAATGCAACCCCAAATATTTAAAATTTGTCTGTGACTATGTTGCACTTACTTTAAACATCAATTCCTAATTTAGGGGGCCATGTTTTACTTCAAAAAGCTCACCCCAGGGATAAAAGAGATGCAGATCATTTTAATACCTGCACTTACATCATCATATAGTATTATGAGCACATCGAAATGTTAATCACTCTCATCTTGCAACAAAATAGGTGGTTTTTCAGTCAGCATTCTGTAAAATTTTCAGAGGAACAGGAAATCTTCATCAATTCTACTTAAGTTGCACACCAAGAAACGTTGCTACAAGTGCTTGCTGCCGCCACCACTGATATACTCTAATAAGAAATTCAAAGTTTTGTTTTTTTCACAGAAAAAGAAATGCTTTCAGGTCTAAATAGGTTGTACATACTTCACATGATTTCAAAAATATCCTGAATACTTGCAATTGCAGTACTTTGGAAAGAAAGAAACTGGGTATTATGAGGGGGGTTGAAGACTTGGGCTACTAGGGCTGCAATCCTAACCCCCTTACCTGGGAGTAAGCCTCACTGAATTCAATAGGACTTACTTCTGAGTAGACATGGTTAGGCCTGCACTATAAAACAGGGTCCGTGAGCCATTTTGCCTGACAAGTTGGTGACCTTTGCTATTAACAAGGCTTCCTCAACAAGTCTGCACCATTGCTCACCAAACCTCAAAAAGCGAAGCTGAGCAGCAGCAGGTGGCTGGTGGTGGGAACAACTTTCCTAAGGGTCCCACATACCTGCAGACGTGGCTGCCGCTGCTGTTTCCACGAGTGCCTTAACACAACCTGCAAAATAATGTCCAGATTCAGTATTTGTGGATGGAAACAGCCTCAGGGCAAACCTTGCATGGCGGAAGACCTTCAATTGAATGGACACAGTAATTCTGAAAGCGGCAGCGTGCAGATATGAAAAGGGGAGGGATCACAAAATGTTGCCTCCAGAAAGGCAAGGAAGCAACTCAAGACTGGAAACATGGGTGGAGGAGGAAGACGAAGCCATCGGGTTCACAGGCAGAAGGGAGGAAGAGGTGGGAGTGGCGCAGTTCATGCCCGTTCCCTTGGCGTTTTACCATGCTGGAACCTGGATGTCTGTTTCAAAAGGGGAGCCTGAAACTTCCATTACAGAGTGTCAAAACCAATAAGAAGATTAGATCGAGAGGCCTGAGAAAGGGGGAGTGGGAGAGAGAGCAAAAGAAAGGAGGTTGTTCTCTCATTAGTGGAATCAAGTTCAAACACCAGAATTCACTGAGAACCTATTTACACCATATTCCAATTCATATGCATATCAAAGCTTAGAATCAAAACTGATTGGGTTTTCCTTATTGTGGTTTTTTTCCCCAAAGAAGTATGTATAAAGTAGCTAAAGTTGGGCTAAAATTCCAAACCATAAAAGGAGGACAGCAAGGGTAGCAGTGGCTGCAGTTTCATGGTAATTTAATCCAAACATGGAGAAGGTTGAATGGGATCCTAGTGATGAACCCCAAAATACTTGGAAGATGAAAGTGACACAGCTTCACTGAAGGGAAGGGCATTTTTAAAAGGAAGAAGAAGAAGAAAGTGTCGCGATTTCATCGGGTGACACAGATTCTCTCTTGGCTAAAACGCACAGGTGGAAGAGCAGGAGGTCCTTGCAGCAAGCACACCCTTCCTTGCTTGAAAAATGGGAAGAGGCCTGAAAAAACTAGTCTCGGCCCTCAACAAAAATACAAAAAAAAATTAAAACAATTTATTATTATTATTATTAATATTATTATTATTCTTTTTTTAAATTCTCACTACAAGTTAAACCACCTAACAATATCACTTCTTTTAATATATTGCCATTATGTTAACTCTGCAAAGGTGTGATATAAAATTGCTGTAAGACCCGGTACCTTTTTTTCTCTCTTCGATTTTATATAAACACAGTGAACTTCATTACTGTACACGTATAATCTGCAACTACAGCTTAGCTGTAAATCTCCCACACACAATGGCATGGACATTTATATCCCTCCCGCCCCAACTCCTATATTCCCCCATTAAACTGTACATCAAGACCAAATACAAATTTTACTGTCCCCATACCCTCAACCCCCCCCTTACAAAAAAATAATACTCTAAAAGCAAACCTACCTCAACTTTCAATTAAGACGATTACATATATATTTTTAGACCAATTGCTTTAAAGCAAGAAGGCGGTATAAACCTTCTAGGAAAATTTTTTTTATAAAAGAGGTTAAGAAATATAAGACAATTTATACATTTAAAAACTTACAATAAATAAGAGATGCAGGCATTTTTTTTTTTTTGAATACTAGGTACTATAATCCGATACAAGAACATTGCAGTGTTCCAAAAGCATTCGACAAATTCTGTTTTTTTCCTTCCTCGTTTGTCTTCTTATTGTCTCCATGCTCATACTTTTTAAAATATTCATTAAACATGGCTGGGGCCTATGGCTCATATACTCTTCACAAATACTGTGATGGGATGGGATTGGGGGAGAGAGAGAATGGTTACTTTGCTACTAAAAAGATGTGTTATAATACATTTCGACTGATCAATTCATCACTCCAATCAGTCTGGTATAGGCAAAACACCAACAAAAGCAGGGGGCAGATGGAGAATTAAACACCTGGGTTATGCAGTCCCCACCGCAAGTCAAAACCAAATAGTTGCTGGAAGTGACCAAAAATGACATTCCCCTCCCTCAAATCACAAAAAAATGACTTGCACAGAGAATAATTAACTTAGTCCTGCAGCGAAATAATCCTTTCCCTTTTTGTTGTTACTCTGGTTGTTGTGTTTTTCTTCTCCTTGCCCAGTTCAGATAAAGATCACAGCATATTCATGATAAAGTTATACAACTGATTCAGCACCACAAAGTGAACTGGGAGACACGACCGCCGGTCCTGAGTCGCAGGATCACAGGTTAGCCAGGAAAGTGCGTTGTACTGTTCCAACACAAACCTGGGAGAAGGAAAGAAGGGAACAAGGACCAGCCAGGAAGTCATTATTGGGAAGGCTTTGCCGTTTTTCAGCACAGGTCACAAGGATATAATTTATTAACCCGCATTTCTGTTAGCAGAGGAGCTTATAGTAAGAGGCAGGATCAAAATGCTTCACTCCCAGCTACCAGATGTATATAGCAGGGAGAAGCTGCATGTATGGGAAGATTGGAAGTCGGCCAGGAGATAGAGTAGACACAACCTCACTCAACCCTTGGTGCAAGGAAGCCTTCTAGAGCTAAAGGGGCCTACTCACAAGAAGTGTGCACAGCTGTAGGTTTTATTCAGCTAAATCCTACTCAGAAATAGACCCAGTGAAATGAATGAATGTGGGGGTCTTTAATGTTTTGAAATATAAAGATATATGTGTTTGCACAACACACACACACATTACCTGCCCTATTGGTCTTGGTCCATTAGTAAGATAAATTATGAGAAGAGCTTCATAAGACAACCTGAGAATTTCTCAGTGCTGAAGGATATATTAAAATAAATTCAACGTACTGTGCTGTGTAAATGAGCGTATAAGCAAGAGAAAACCACCGGCAGATTGTAGCAAACTGCATGGCTGCAATAGCCGAATTGCACCTTTAAAACAACAAATCCTGTATTTTGCATGCTCTCACATACAACTGATGATCATACCTGAGGACATCGGAAGTTTGATTCGAGTCAAGAGGGTGGGAGTGTTTACTGTGAAGTAGCTCGTCCGATTGCACTGAAGGCACATGGAGGTGCAGAGAAGCCTTTAAAAGAAGTCAGAACATACAGTAAGTGTTTATTACAATGCTTTAAAAAGAGAGAGCTAATAATCAAATAATAATTCCTCTATAGGGACAGAGTTTAGAGCATAGCTCTGTGGGAGGCCCTCCCACCAGCGAGTGTCCCCAAAGGTCCTCCAATCTCTATAACCCTGAACACACATGCGCACACAGTGAGTCTTTCCTGGGTTTTGTTTCCATCTCATCCTCTTCAACCAAACGCAGAGAAATCCAAACAACCCCCCCTCCCCAAATTCTCAGAGAGAAAAACCAAGGAATGCAATTGTAACCAAGTTTATAGTATCACTCACTACATTTACAAAATAGGATGGATGGCCACAGACAATTAGCCAGGGAAGGCAAAGTACAAAGAAATGAGCCAGTGAATAACTTGTGCGAAAGTAGTGGGTAAGGGTCCCCCTAAACTCCTCCACATTCTTGAACACAACATCTTCCCCCTGCTCCCAAGCAACCCCCCCCCTCCCAGCAGAGGGCAAAGTGCAGTTGCTCATCCTTGCCTCCTGGGGCAGAAGTTGGGTGCTTTCTCTAGTTTTAGCAAAGCTGCCCACTACTCAGTTTGGAGCCAGGGAACAGCCTTCAGCTGGTCCCCAGACTTGGCTGGAGAAGCACCTGTGGAACAGAAAGGAAAAGCGCACTGCCGGCATGCTTGGCTGAAAGGAGAAAGAGCATCTTTCCCTCTCTACAGCTCAGCAGCGTAGCTAGCTGCTCGGACACCAGGGGCGGCGCAAATGACCTGCACCCGGGGGCGGGGCAAGCCAAGGCAGAGCACATTGTGCAGAACCTCCACGGAGTCCGCAAGCCCCACGTTGTCATTTTGGGCAGCGCGGAGCCTGCAGGTGCCCAAGTCACCGCGTCACTCCCCAGGAGAGCCATGTGGCTCAGGCAGTGATGTCAGTGATGACACCCGGGGCAGTCTGCACCCACCGCATCCCCCTTCCTATGCCACCCCTACAGCTCACACCTTAGTGGGACGCGTCTCTGAAAATCTTTGGCCACCAGTGACTCCTCAATGCTGTATCTGCCACTTCCTTGATCAGGCAGGCAGGAGCACCCTGCTGCTTTGAACGAGGTAGTTGGCTGTTAACTGCAGGCACAAGTCTTTCCAGCTGACTTGGTATATACTGAATGCCCGCCTACAAGCCCACGTTGCCACTACTTCCCCACTCACCCCGAAAAGCTCTCCTGAAACTTACATAATGACACGCAGCATATGTCTTTTGAAGCACTCTCTCAACAAGACCAATCCCCACACCTCCCAGACACAGCTCACAGACTTTGCTGAAGGTTTGTTACCTTAAGAAACAGGGGACACTGATTTTGTGCTTGAGGACACGCCGACCAAAACCAGTCAGGCAACGGACCTGCTTTGGCAGTTGAGACAAAGTAACCAAGGGCCAGCGGTTGCTGTAGGATGTTGGTGACTTCGTCGTGAGACTCCGTTGAGAGCAAGCGATCTGTACCTTGACCCTGGTGCGACAAAACAGAAGGTGGGGGGAATTGGCAAAGAGCGCACAAGGAAAGCCTTGCTGGATCAGACCAAAGGCCCATCTAGCCCAGAATCCTGTTTCCTGCCACAGCCAACCGCATGCCTACACAAGCAGGGCTGGAGTAGAGTAGGCCACAGCTGCTCATGGTCCTCAACAACTGGCAATCAGAGGGTGGCTGTTTCTGGTCCTCGAGGAAGGAGCCTTAATCCCTCAGACATTCGCCAAATCCCCTTCTAAAGCCATCTGCTGGTGACCACCACCACATCTTCAAACAGTGAATTGAACAGATTAACTATGCCCCTAAATACCCCACCATTCAGCGACATTGGATAACACGTTCTAATGTTAAAAGAGAGAGAAAATCTTCTCTCTCTTCTCACCATACTTAATGCTGTAAACCTCTATCATCTCTCCCCCCCTCCCCTTTGAAAACAAAAAAGCCCAAAAGATTGCAACTCTTCCTCATAGGGGAGTTGCTTCATTCTAATCATGTTGGTTGTCCTTTTCTAGCCCTTTTCCAGCTCTACAATATCCTTTTTGATATGAGGAACGCAGAAGGCAGCACTGTATCCCAAGGATGGATTCCTTTTATATTTGGTTGCCACAATATTGAAATGGGGGTACTTGGCAACCCCTGGCCATTCAGATCAGCCCTGAGGCAAACAGATGGTTGAGTTCTTAAATACGGTTCCTTGCCATAAAACCTTACCTTCCCCATGTCACCTCCATGGGTGAAGTGGGAACTTGGTGAGTGTACAGGGGACCCGGTAGGGGATGCAGGGAGGATGTTTATAATATCAGGATCAATATCAGGATCTCCAGTGTCTAACAAATCAAAGAGCCCCATTCCATCTGCTCCATCTTGAGAAAAGCAACAAATACAACAACAAAAGAGTCTGTTAACAGAGAGTTGCTATCATTATGATTTATATAAAAAAAGGAGAGTACACAATGTATGAAGAAATTCTTTACCGACAGCTAGCATGGCATTGTGGTTGGAATACTGGGCTTGAAACAGAGGGCTGCATTCAAATCCCTGGGCACCCATGAAATACACTCAGTGACATTGTGAATTTGGCTGGTCCCAGACAGCTCTTGCTTCAATCTATTTTATACACAGTTATGTTGCTTTGCTTTGACCGATACTGCATATGTATGCCAAGACACACATGCACACGAACAATTGGCTGCTGCCCATTTTGCCTGTTCCCTGTAATCATGGGGTTGAGATCTAATAGGCTGCTCATAAGCACTCTAACAGAGGACGGTGAAGGCCCAAGTCAAGGGGGGCGGGGGAGAACAGCAGTGCAGATACTGGAAAGGAAGCAAAAGGCTGGTGTGGCTGCAGTGAAATACCTTATGCCTAGGAAAAGGACAGGCTTGTGTGTTCTGGGGGGAGGGTGCTTAAGAAATTGGGACCAGTGTGCTTCAGAAATTGGGGTCAACTAAGGAAGCCACAGGTGCCAAGGAGGATGGGGAAAGCCCCACTTGGGATCTAGAGATAGAGAAATCTGTTTTGTTGGGAGGGCTGAATTTCTATCATCTACAGGCCTCATTTTTCATATCTATCAAGGAAACATTTTTATATGAAAGTATTTGAAGACACACAAACACATACACACAAACACACACCATTGTTTGTATTAAAGGCCAGATCCAAACCAGTTTCAGTGGTATAAGTTGATGATGCTACTTGCACAGATGCAGACGTGGGAAACACAAGTATATGAGTGCACGACGTATCCTGCGGGGTGTTTAGTTGGGATGTCTGCATATTTAGGGTGGTGCTGCGCCCAAACACTGAGCCAGTTGATACCGAATCTTAAAGAAAAAGAGAGAGAGATTTCGCTAAATAGTACAGCCAATATGTTTGCTTTCATAGAAGCAACAAGTGAGAAGCATTTCACAAATACCTGGCATGATGACAAAGGATCCCTGCGGTTCTACTGCCACTAAGCAGGCGCTGAGAATGCTGGGAGAATCGGCAGTGGAGATGCCACACATCCTGCACATGTCTTTCAGCCTCTTGCTAAGTGACTGCAGATTTCGGCGACTCAGCAAGCAACTCCAGTCTAAAGATGAAACCAGAGAGATTGGCTACCAAGGAAATGATTTTAAATGTAAGTGATGGCTAGCTGCTGTCATGTTTAGACCACAAAATGGGTACATTAAAAACTGGATGGACCACTGTATGCAAGCTTCTTTCTTAAGCTATTCCGACCTCTTTTCCAAGTGGAACAGAGAGGAAAAGATAGCTAAGCTACCTGGCAAGCAAACTGCTTTGGAAATTATTTTCTTCCATCAGTTAGTGACTGTTCACAAGGCTTTTCCTATTTCAGGTGTTAAAATTGCCAGTAGGGGCTAAATCCAAATTCTCTACTGAAACGGAATAGGTTGCAGTTTAGGTGATAGAAAGCCCCTTTTCCCCATGGCATAAACACCCCACCCCAAAAGGAGATTGCTTCAATATGTATATAATTCTTTGATTTCAGGGGCCACTACGTTCTCCAGACCAATGATCCTGGAGTAAGGATTAGTCTCCCCAAAAATTCATTTTGTGACCCCTGCATTGCTTGCAATAATTTTTTGTGGCACTAAGGGCTTCACAGTTCTAGAGCATGCAGGCCTATTCACATTTATATATTCTATCCAAAATGAGTGTGTGTGTGTTATGTACATTATTAAATGTGCCATTTTTCTCCCATATCAAGCATTTTGGCTAGAGAGGTGACAAACTTGCACAGAACGCTGCATCTCCATGGGTGACAAATATCTTCAGAGATGTTTCCATATTACCTTTTAGCTCCCCGTGGCCTATTCTTCCAAGACGTCCTATTACAACTCTCCAAGGCAACGAACTCATCTGCACAAGCCCCAGGCACCATTCCCAGAGTTTCTGAAGACCAAGTCTGCGAGCAGACCCCTTTTTCCTACGAGCCCTGGTGGAAAATAAAGATTCACTAGTAAACAAATCCATGAACATACCTTCCAGCTGTTTTAAGACTGCTCCCAAAGAACATTTAGACACTGTAACACTTCAATATTTGGGCAGCCAGGATCAAGACAGGGGAAAGATTCTGTACATGTTCAAAAGGTGCAAGATCCAAGCAGTAAATCAATGCATCTACTCCCTCTTTATTTAATTACTTATATCCTGTTTTTGAAAATGAGATGCTTCTAAAAAAGCTTTAAAAAGTAAAAGTAGGCAGAAGTGTGTGTGTGTGTGTGTGTGTGTGTGTGTGTAAGTAAAATCAAACACCCTTCAAACATGCAGTATAAACATTATCAGCATAAAAATCCATGAACCATTAAGTCAATCATAAAAAGGTTTCCAGGAAAGAAAGTTTTTCTAAACTTTTCTAAATACAGGAAATGACTTTATGAATTCCACAGCCCTTACCTGTTAGGTACATCAATGTTGATAATGCAGGTTTCCAATAGTTCTCCATATAAATCTGTGCACGATGCAAGAAGCCACCTTTGATCATGAGAGAGACAGTAGCCCACGAAAAGCACATTGTATTTCTGCCCAGCCTCTCCAAAGGTTTCTCCCAGCTCTGTCTGTTTATCTTTGACAGGAGCCAATATGAAAGGAGGGGCATACAGCTTAATACACTCTGGTCTCTGCAAAACACACACAAAACAGAACACTTAAAACCACAGGATTACTTGTCCCACAGAGTAGCAGATCCCCCATATAAACAAATGAAACAGAATTGTGCGCATGCACACAGCATCAGTTTTGCCTGAGGGATAGGCACTCACTCACACTCTCACACTATTGATACGTATCTCATTCTGCCAGTGCTTCTCAGAGGTTTACCAGATTTCATGCCAACCAACTCATGGTTCTCACTTACTTCTGGACTCCTGAGCGCCATCTCCATTGCCAAACCTGGGCCAAACCCAGTTAATGTTTTCACATTGGTCGACGTTGGGAGTGGCCTCCGGCATTGCGTGAAGGCGGAGAATGCCAGCGATTTTAGATGCTGAGTGTAGATCTGCCTGTCTTCATTCTTGACTGGTTGTAACAGATATTGACAAGGAACAAGCTAAGAAGGGCAGAGAGGGAGGAAAAGGTAAGTCTACACTGCCCAATCTGATACCAGTATAGAGAAGCCTTAAGACAGGAACAGCCTTCATGCCAAAAAAAAGTAGCAATTGAACCAGTTTTGACACTGGGCAACATCCTATCACAATATCCTGTGCAACCAATAATAAATCAATATAATAAACCAGGACACAGCCATGTGCGTGGAATCATAGTATCACAGAGTATAGCTCACAAGACGAGGTCAACATCAATGACATGTTGGTACTTTCAAAAAGAGCTAAGCAGCCAAAGAAATTTGTTTAATTCTCCTGTTCTGACCTGAACAGCATTTGAGTTAGGAACCTTAAAGAATCACACAAACCACCCAAAGCCACTGTAGAGCTAGGGCAGGTTTTAAGTCCAGCCATCAGAAGGGAACAAGGCTTCCAAGGACTACTGTGGGCAAACACATTAAGCAACAGGCTGCCTTTGGCTTCCCACATCACAGAATCAGCTTACCTGAACAGAAACGATGTTTCTGATGTTAGTAGGGAGATTTTGGATCATTTCAAGAAAGCAACGGAGAAGACCCAGAGTCCACACGCTGGAGGAGTTGCCCTCCTCTTTCTTCTCATACGAGAAAGGGTCAACAATGTAAACTACAATGGCAGGTGGGTAGGTGACTGCGTGGGAATCGCCGTCAGTGGGGACTCCCACTTTGTCGCGGTCCATAGTGCTGGAAGCAGAAAGCAAGCAGACATAAGAAACAGAAAGCTTCTTCCTTGTATGGGCCCTTAAGTGTTAAGACTGTGTTATGTGTTCACAAATTATCTGACTTCTTTTCACCCAGCGGAGAAAGACTCCCATCTCCCCTATGCAGTATTTTAAGGGGAATACGTCTTTGTGGCTTTTGGGAGCCATCAGTACCTTTGCGGCATCTGCAGCTAATATACCTTCCCCATCAATTATCTGAGGCTTATCAGAGCACAGCAAACACATTACTCAGTAACAAAAGGGGCACAAAGGTATTAGGCACTCCTGGCACCAAAGGGTAAAAAATTAATGCAGGCATCCTTCAAAGATGAGTAACCATTGGTACAATTACTCACACTGTATTTCCTCAATTTTGATCAGAAGTTTGCTGGATTTAACAAGAGTTGGAACACATGACCTGGAAGTAGAAGGAAGCCTAGGGAATTCAATCTTTGCAAATTCCACATTGCAAAAATTAGTGTGTGTGGTACTTTGCAAAGCAGAAGAACACAGGCCTTGCCCCAAGAAGCTTACAATCTAAGGCACTGGAATACTTTCAAAATTTAGCAGCTCACGTACAGTCCTTGGCTGATATTGGAGACTGTCATAGCACAGAAGGAAGGATACACTTTGATCTGTTTGGGCCAAAATGCTGCTAGCTACAAGTTGAAGCTCAGACAACTGCCTTACTTCTATAGTGTGGTTTTAATGACAGCAAGGACACCTGTTCAAGAAATCAGATTCCTGCAAAAGGGATGCCAAATTGATGGCATATTTTCTCTCATCTTACTTGGAAGGGAAGTTCCAGCAAAGTCCCCATTTTGCTTTAGGGATTAAGAACCCAGCATGGTGCAGAGGTCAAAAGTGTCAGAATGAGACCTCAGAGACCCAAGTTCAAATATCTATCCAACTATGAAGTTCACCCAGGTTACTTTGGGCCAGTCACCACCTCCCAGCCTAAACCTACCTCACAAAGTAGTTGTGAGGATTTTTTTTAAAAAAATGAGGGGGAGATCCATGTGTGCCACCTTGAGCAACTTGGAAGAAAGGCAGGATACAGATGGAAGTGAGTACATTAACTGATAAATCATTCTGTGCCGTATTACCTTTCTGAAACTTCTGAGTGCGGCTGTGGAGGGACTGATGGGGCTTCCCCCGGTATCGCTGCGGATGGCGGTTGTTGCTGCTGCGTCCCCGCCTGCCCGTTCTGGACTGTTGCAGACTGCGTGGAGAGGGAGGAAGGAGTAGTAGTGTTGTTCATGCTGCCAAAAGGTGGAAAGGATGAAGGTTTGTTCGCTGAAATCCCACCGCCTGAACTGGAAGAGGAGGATGAAGTGGCAGTCGTGGTCATGGTGGAACTGGCCGTGGTAGTGGCAGAGGTGATGGCACTGTTTGAGTTCATTGGGACAGCATTACTGGGAGCAGACGAAGGGGTGGATGATGGAGTAGAGCTGCCTCCAACCTGAGGCGGGACTGATGTAGGATGGCTGGTGGGAGGAACTAGGCTGGACTGAGAAAGCAAGGAATTGTCCAATGGCTGTGTAGCAAGGTAAGGACCTTAAAACAGAAAAAGGAAAAGAAATTAACCAAACCTTCTGCAATAATGAAACTTGACAGAGCATCATATTCATTTAGATAGAGAACCCGCCAAACTGTAGGTCCTTCACAGTTTACTAGACAGGGGAAAGAGAAGAGAAACCTATTCCATGGGGGATGATAACCTTCCCTGAAATTATTATTATTGTTTATTCGATTTGTTAAGTCGCTTTATCTTGTCCAGGATAAGCCGAAATGATTTACAACCAAACCAAAGGCAGTCTACCAATCTTCCTTTAAAACACCAAAGTGCACCAGAGCGCCAAAGATTTTCCAGTTTGAAGTCTCAGTTCACACAGAGCACCTGTGCCCACAAACTGACTGTGCATCCATAAACATGACCAGGGCTTCTTTTCAGCCAGAACTCAGTTCCAGCACCTCTCAGGTGAGCGCCATTGCCATTATGTGAGAACAAGATTCATGGTGAGTTCTGGCACCTCTTTTTCTAGAAAAATAGCACTGAACATGACCACAAATGCTTGGCATAGGTCTGGGTGCTGGAGGGTCTGGGGGTGGAGTAAGAAAAGAAATAGATGTGGAAAGAGTTCCCCAAGAGTAGAAAGTTAAGAGTCAGAGGCCAAGGCGACTGCTTCATGTTTTTGGCTCCTGAAATATGATTGACCGAAAGCCCCAACAACTACTTATGGTTCACTTAATGTAACTTTGCACTAACAAGATCAAATTAGATTTCCAACCCCTGTAGCTGCACAGAACATTCTGAACCCTAGAAGAAAACATAGCTTCCTCTGTCTGATTTAGCAACCCACCGCTAATATGCAAATTATATGGGTCAAGGAACATGGACAACTTGCACTGTACCAGATCGGAATTACAGTATGAGTAACTTCAAGCATGGGAGCTGCATTTTTTGCATGCCAGCATCTCATCAGCAACTCTGTTCCAACCACTTATGTATTGTATAACCACAGTGAAATATTTTTACAAGTGACGGCTTTAGGACAGGGATAGCCAACCTAGGGCTCTCCAGATGTCGCTGGACTATAACTTCCAATATCCTGGACCAGGGGCTATGAGGACTACAATTGATGGGGGGTGAGTCCAACAACACCTGGATGGCACGATGTCGGCTATCCTTGCATTAGGGGAAGGAAGTGGGGGGAACGTACCCAAATCATATCTGCAGACTTGAGCGTACAGTTTGAGTCTAGAAAATGATTCGCTGTTGGCGTGAGCTGCCTGGGAGAACCACTCAGCAACAGACTTCTCAGAAAGTTTGGTTGAAGCAGCAGATCCGACTCTCATGATCCCGTCAGGCAACAGTTTACAGATGGGTCGATGCTGGCCAAGCCTGCAGGACTGCAAAAGAAGAAGCAGGAACCAAACATGGTGAGTGGACAAATATTTTGACAAGTGGACCGCAAGTCTAACATATGGGACAATGTCGCTTTAATGCGCTGGGCAGAACACCACGAAGCCCACAGCACCTCATTGCATTTTTTTGGTTTTGGTTTTTAAATGCTCTTTATTAATTTTGCACGTAGTTTAGAAGACAAGAAATCTCAATGTAGTTTTGCCTCCAGAGAGCAGGCAAGAGTACCCAGATCGGTATGCCTTTTCCAGATCCATGGCATTCACTGCTCCTGTCCCAAAAGTGCCCAAATCTGGAATCTTTGTTGACAAATAGCAGCAAAGAGCTTCAACTAAACATTGCAGCTTTTTGCTTTGATGCAGCTGTCGAATCTCCCCCAGAACTTTCAAGCTGTTCAACAGTGGAGCAGTCTCCCTCCGGAGGTTGTGGACTCTCCTTCCTTGGAGGTTTTTAAGCAGAGGCTGGATGGTCATATGTCATGGATGCTTTAGTTGAGATCATGGGCGCAGCCAGGATTTGGGGGGGGGGGGCGAAACAGCTGTTTGTGACATGACTGGTCAGTTAGTTAAGTATTTCTATTTACTTACTTGATTTAGGGGGGTCTCCCTGCCCCCCCCCGCTACACCTATAGTTGCGATTCCTGCATTGCAGGGGGTTGGACTAAATGGCCTTTGGGGTTCCCTCCAACTCTACAATTCTATGATCCTCAAGCAAGAGACTGCAGAGTTGACCCCCTGAGGTCAGTCATCGTTTTCTGTTATGATCGTAACAGAGGAAATTGTTTCCCGGTTTCTTGTGTGAATCTGCAATCTGTACACATTGAGGTTATTTTAATGTCTTTTTATCATCTTGAGTTTTGTTCTGGCTCGCAGCCAAGGCAAATAAACTTGGACCTGAGGAGTAAGTACCACAGCTCCCTGCTGCTGCCTGTGCTGCAGATTAGCAACCCATGGTATAAATTAAGCTACAAGGCATAACGTCATGAAGCTTGCCACAAAAAGATGCCTCTACTGTTCTTCCAGGGAGGCTGCCATGTTAGAAGGCTGCAGCAAAATCAAAAGACTGTTGTTTTGGACATTTTTCTTATAAAAGACATGATTCAGTACCCTTATATGTTACCCTACAGTTTATTCAACAGTCTCCATAAAGTTTAATAATCTCAAGCAGGTTAACCCACAAAAACAGTGGATTACGGGGTTTTTTAAAGTAGCCTCATGGCACCCAAACAACAGCAAATTAGTGGGCCAAAGCACACTTTGCCTGATGGATACCAAGTTTCCCCCAACTATAGATAGAAGGAGGGGAGACAACATTAAGTCAGAAGACCTAGTATTAAAAAAAAAAAAAGCATGATCCTTTCAGGAACGGCATGTCAATATAAAACAAGACTAAATCAAAAGAATGAAAGATCCAATCAGTGCAGGTGTGACTAAGTCCCAACTGGTAAGGAATTGGCAACCGAAGATGAAAACACAAACCAAAAGAAGTGATTGAGCCGCTCCTACCCTCTACTGAGCCCGAATTGGATGGTGTGAAATCTGCCAATGTACTTCAACTCAGCAGGCTTGACCCTGGAGTCTCCTTTTGAAAGTGGCCATACTTTCAGCAAATGTTTCAAATCTGCTACTGAACCGCCAGTGAAAGAGAGAACTACTCACACCGACTCTGACTGTATCTTTTTTGCTTTTTTAATGGGATTTTATTTCTTTTCTTCTCTTCTCTGCAAAGTAATGGCCTGGTCTTTGCAAAACGCCTTAATAATACTCTGGGATGAGGAGAGACAGACTAGCAATATTCTTCTTTCCTAAAAGCATCAACGTGGCAGCACATACTAATTTTAACAATTATTATTGCTATTATTACATATATTGCCTGCTCTTCACCAGCAGGCCTAAGGGTGGGTTACAACAACTTAAAATTAAAAACAGCTAAAAAGTATAACAATAGCCGGAATAGGGTTGGCTCTGGAAACACACGTTTTGGGTGTCAAAAGGCCACCCTCTTACCCTAACAAGATTTAGTCCAAAAATACAGCATGGCCACCCTGTTACATTAAGTAAGCTCTTTTTAAAAACATTATAAATCCTTGAGCTGGACTGGGGAGGGGTGCGTGTGTGTGCACTCAAATAAAGTAATTGTAGCTTGCCAGAGTATTCAGAACAGCCTTGCCATAAAGCTAGTTGCTAATCAGAGATTCGACGGATTCAAATATACTGACATCCTCTTTTCTTTGGCTTCTGTTAAATGCAGGGTAAGACTGGCAATGCCTTGGAATAATGGCCAGACAGCACAGGGAAGATTCAGTAACCTGGAGTTAACACTGTTTGTAGCCTTAAATGCAGGAGGGCAGTACATAATTTAACCACTTGATGGCATCTGCATGATAAGGAAACTGCTACTTAAATGAAGCCCTGCTAAAAGGAGATGAGCCTTTTATCTCTTTCTACCATCCATTTTAGCTGATTTGTTGAGATAAGGTCTGCAGGAGGTTTTAAGTGTCAGCTGGAATGCAAAGTTGATAAATGGCACCATTGGGGGGGGGGTAGGATTCCTTCTGGAGCACTCCACGCAGGGCCTCCTTCTCATATTCCCTTACCTCATATATTGCCGTGAGATCCCGAAAGAAGGTCTTTGCTCCGTTCAGCAGCGCTTCATTCTCTGGACACACCACAACGTAAGCAATGTCTCTCTGAGATCCATAGGGTTCCAACATCAGCCTCTCCCAGTACGGTAAGGCAAATGGGGACAGCACCAGGAAGTCGTAATCGTATCCCAACAAAAAAGTTGGAATGGGCAGTGGTTCTGGAGACTCATCAGTTCCTGGACAAGGAAAGGGACATTTTTTTCCATATATTAGAATGGAACTGGAGTGCAACAGTGCACCCCTTCCAGATTCAAGGGAAGCAACTGCCGAGAGAAAAATGAGATGCCAGGTGTCTTCTGGAGCAAGTTAATTCTCAAGCCACTCCTTGTACTGCCATCAAAACAGAATTGGTCCATTCTGTCCCATCCGATCTACCTTTTTTACTACTCTGCTCCCTGAAAACAAAAGCTGGAAGTCCACAGAGTTAAACAAAGATACCAATATGCAAAATCCTGCAAATTAGTCTAAAGCCAGAGGTCTTAAGTAGTGATCTGTAAAATACTCTCCAAACATTTCTAGTGCAAAATTGGGGGCTGGCATGTAAACAAATCAAGCAGCAAGTGTGGCTTCCCTCATCCAAACAAATCCAAAGTACTGGGCTGAAGGATGAAAGTTTGCTTCCTACATCTTGGGAGAACTCATAAAGGCCTCCGTAGGAACAAAAGGATCTAATGAGGGACTCACAAACGAAGATTCACAGTAAGACTCCATAGCTCAATTCAGACATCACTGCCATATTACCATCAGAAATACACTATGGGTTCACACACCCCACATCCTTCCCTTCTATACACCAATTCCCTCCTTTACTTAGAAGTTTTCCTTAATCATAGTTGCCCATGATGCCCTACCTGGGCAAATTGGGTGTAACCATACTTTTCTTCCAAATCTGAAATGGAAATCCACTTCTACCTAGGAGTTTCTTCTTATTTGGAAACACGGAAGGGGGGACAGAATACAGTGGTACCTCGAGTTACGAACACCTCAGGTTACAAACGCTTCAGGTTACAAACTCCGATAACCTGGAAGAGTTACCTCGAGTTGAGAACTTTGCCCCAGGATGAGAATGGAAATCGTGTGCCAGCGGTGCAGCGGCAGCAAGAGGCCCCATTGGCAGAAGCATGCCTCTAGTTAAGAACAGTTTCAGGTTAAGAACGGACCTCCGGAACGAAGTAAGTTCGTAACTAGAGGTACCACTGTACAACATCTGGATTGTGGCTTTATGGTTGATTATATTGTACTGAAAGGTTAGGATACAATTTTAAAGTTCTCTGGTCTTGATGTCTAGCATCTCTATAAATGTTCCTTCTTACTCTCCTATCCTTCCAGCCTATCATGAGTTCCAAAATAAACAACTCATGACCAAAATTCAACCCAAAGAAGAGTGCATCATAACCTCCCAAAACCACAGAGCATAAACTGAGATTTCAACATACTACTACTTCCTGAGTTCCTTCCACCCATGCACTAGGAAAGGGTAGGAAAGTTTAAAAATGATCCCCTCTCCACACAGAAATAAATGAAAGAAACTGATCTGTGGACAACATTTACCGTAAGTGCCTCGGCCAGCCATTTTGTGAAACTGCTGCCACGTGAGAGGACCCTGCACTCCCCAAGAGCGAACGGTTCGTTTTTTCTGAATTGCATCCTGGAGGACAGGCTGAAGTGAGAGCAGCATGCGAAGGATGTCCTGAGAACATTGCATGCTCACGTCTCCAACTGAAACAACCAAAGTTAGTTCAAAGAGGTTGCAAAGCAGTGTCCTAGTCACAATCTATACATATCAACAACGCATTTCTAAGCTCCAGGTGTTGTACATTAAATACATGAAGTTATCTGTGCTCAGAGAACACAACCCACATCACTGCTATGAAATTCTCTATTTTATTGTACACTGCTTTGGTTAGTTTAGTTTAAAATGAGGGTGCAAACTCTAAGCAGTTTTGGTTGATGAACACTGGGAAACTACAAGTTAAGGGCACAATTTATTTATTTTTTAGGTGCATTCACTTATTCACCTCTAAAGGCATCTTAGTAAAAACACCATTTGCATTTAATTTTTAAATCAACCAACCCATTCAAAGAAAATGATAAACAGTTTAAAAATTCTTCAACTGGTTGACAACTCTACTTAAAAGCAGCATATGGCTTGTCACTGAAATATTCAATTTCAGTCTTCCAAAAACCAAGTAAAGCACATGGGGTGCTTAACTTTCAAAATATTTGGAATTTCCCCCTAAAACTAAGGAGTATATGCTTGCTTCAGAGTGTTTGTTACCCAACATCCTGAACAGATATCTGCACAGAAAGATTCCTTAAAATATGCTATATAGCAAAGTAAATGCATCCTAGGCACACTAAACTTGCAAAGTAGGCAGGTAATATAGCACAGCCATAGCTAGATCAACTTGAAATGTCCCACCTAATTCATATTTTTATTTTGCACCTTTATATACCTCTTTTTCTAATTACAAATCAATATGCTTCACATGAGTATAACTTAAAAGATATGGATGGTTCAATTATTTCTGGTATGGGCCTTTTATGCTTTTATGTGATATGTTTGTACAGACACATAAATAGGTTCTGAAAGCATGTTCTGATGGATGGTTGATCTCTGAATGATAATCTTTTCTACCATCCTAGAAAGTGATTCCTGCAGCCCAGGGGCAGATCTCTCCCTGCTCTAAATTTAGAAAGTATTTCTCAGTTTCCTTAAAAATCAGAGTATCCGGAATTCCCTCACATTCACCATGAAGAGGCCTTAATTGATCGCAACTGCAATACAACATACTGCCAAGCAATCATGTGTATGTTTAGCGGCCTACATCAAAGAGATAGACAGACATTTCTCCAGCAGCCAAAACTTTGAATCTTCCAGGGTAGGCATGGGGAACTGTGGCTTCCAGATGCTGCTGGACTACACCTCCCATCAGTCCCAGCCAGCATGGCCAGTGGTCAGCTACAATGGAAACTGTAGTCCAGCAACGTCTGGAGAGCCACGGGTTCTCCACCCCTGTTCCAGAGAATAATAAATAATTGGCATTTCACATATTTTAGGTATAATTAGTGCACCCAAGCAAGCTACCCATTCTTTGCAATTTATGGTAAATCAACTAAGTGATCCCTTTTAAGTCCGCGTTTTATATAGGGTGAGAAATTTAAAACATTATTGGGGGGGGGGAACACACAACAACTGCAAACACTTACCATTTTGTTTTGACCAATGGTGCAAGCAAGTACTCTTCACAAGTGCTTCATCAACTTTCCCTCCCGACATGTTGTCCATAAACTGGCGCCCATGTTCCAGCGCAAGGTAGCAGTCATTACAACAATCCCTTTCCTCAGCGCGTACCAGGTTGCCGATGGCTCCAGCTTTTGGCAAGGGGTCGTGGTCAGCCGCTCCAAATGGCGAGAACAGGTTGGTGCACTGGTCTTGCAGCAAGAGTATCAGCTCATCAGGCAGCCTGTCAGCCTCCTTCGATCCCCCGCCATGCTCAGCAGAGCCCGTGCGGAGGGCCTCAAAGCGCTTCTCCACATCTTTGCCACATTCCGAGCCGCGGCCTAGGATGTCCAACTCATCCTCTAGGAATAATCCAGAGTTGTTTCCAAACTTCCTGTTCATCACTGCGCTGAAGCCACAGGTACACCTGTACTGGGCTTCTTGTGTTGGATCTGGAATGTAAACTCCAACATCGGCACCTTTGATGTTTGTGTTGCAGACGCAGATGCAACAGCTGTCAAAGTTACAGTCTTTGAAGAGGTTCATCACCGATTCAGAGAGGATGAGGTTGACGTAGAGACTGTGGGCCTCAGGGATAGAAGGGACAGTGGGAGGCTCAACAGAATTTAGCGGTCTGCAGGTTGATGGCGTTGACGCTGGTGAATACAAGTCCGAATTCTCATATTTGACTGAGCCTTGAGCACTGGCTGGCCCACCAGCCCCACGGGGAGTCCTTGGAGTCCTTGGTGTCCGAGGAGTTGGGAAACGGGGGGTGGAAGGCGAAGGGAGAATGCCAGGCCCACTGTTACTGGGTGGGGCACTGCTGGGTGGCATTCCAAAGGGCGTATGTGTTTGTGGAGTGTAGGCAGGGCCGTATTCTTGATCAATAGTGCTCCCATCACTAGGGGGAGAAAAGAAATATCTTTACCCAAGGCTTTTAAGTAGTACGTTCTCTAGAACAGTGTTTCCCAACCTTGGGGCTCCAGCTGTTTTTGGACTACAATTCACATCATCCCTTGCCACTGGTCTTGCTAGTCAGGGATGATGGGAGTTGTAGTTCTAAAACAGCTGGAGGCCCAAGGTTGGGAAACACTGCTCTAGAATATCTTTTTTTTAAGGATCTGAGCAGACAAACAGTGGGAATCACTGCCAGTAATAGGACAAAACAATCAAGATACAACGGCACATGGCAACAAGTTTAGAGAGGTAACATAGGGCAACAGATGCTGCTGGACTCCAACTCCCATCAGCCCCTTCCAGAGCCACCAGCTGCCAGGGATGATGGGAGCTGCAGTACAAAACATCGCACACAAGCACATACCCTTCTTTGATGAATGGCATTGCAGGCCCCGGAGGAAGCAATTCCAGCTTGCCCACAGTCCAGCTCTGCCGGTAAACACACTCCTCCGGCAGCTTGATGGGCTGGAGACACTGGCTTGGTAGAGTCTTCAATGGTGCAAACATGGAACACCCCACAAAAGCTTGGCTGTTCTCAGGCTTATAAACGTAGGAATAATCCTAGAAGCAAAAAGAAAAAGCGTAAATGAAGAGCTAACACGCATAGTCAGAAAAAGAAAAGCCAGTTGTCCCTTTGGTTTGCTGCCTCTGGGCTATGAATCAGGGGAGATGGTTTGAGTTCAAGTAGAATAATACATGGGCCAGATCTGGGCTTAGAAGCTCATTTTGAGTCTATACTGGGTGTGTTTGCACATCACAATATGGCACAGTTAATGGTTTAGCCGTGAACGTGCAGATTGTTCCCACTTTGTTCCTCTCCCTGCTAGCAGGAAAAACAAACTACGATCCTTGGCTTAGCATTATATCCAGAATGTGGATTGGTTTTTCCTTTGCTCCAAACAAACCATGATCTGAAAGGTTTGATACAGGTATTTGCAGCTTCTTATCAGCTGGGGTTCAGGACAGAATTATCCTGGTTAGCTATTTAAAATTTACACTACAGAACTCTGTGAAGCAAGCATAAGGTACTGGTGGCGTTACCCATTCAAACACCTAATAACTTATGAAGGCGTAACTAAAGCTACCTTCACACAACTGCAAGCTAAAAAAGTATTAAATCAACCAGGACTGCAACCAAATGAAGACAAAACAACTGAGAAAAGCAGGCAGTGGAGAGGAAGACACAGAACTCAAAGGAGGAGCCTGGCAGCAGATGAAAAAAAAAAAAGGAGGGGGGGGGAGAAACAAGTAAAAAATAATAATAACCCAGCAAAAACAGCATACTGAGGGCTTCTTCTCTGCCTGGGATCCCACTGAAACAATCAACTTTGTTTCACCTAAGTTTGACCAAGAGTCACGAGCTCTATTACCAAAATGGGCACGAATTGGGCTATTATTCTTTTATTTTTGTCTGTAATATAACCATGTAAAACATGTTCTGTTTCTAGGGGGAGGGGGCTAATGTTAACATTTCCCCAATTTCACCTAAGCATTTGGCTCATGAACGAAAGAGGGACTATTCCGCTCCCAACCACAGGTGTAGGGATTATTATGTTGGGAAGGTTGGAGGGATTAGGGAGGGGCAGGCAGGAGTCTGAATGTTGAAGTTAATTCCTTTTGAAATTCAGAGCATCTGTATTTTTGCTGATGGAATATGGTAATAACACTGAAATTACTATGATGCATAATACATCTATTGCCCGGTTGGTTGGTTTTTTAACTAGCCTTTAGTGCAGGGGTTGTTAACTTGGTCCCTACCACCCACTAGTGGGCGTTTCAGGATTGTAGGTGGGTGGTAGGGGGTTCTACGGCACAAGTTGAATCCTCCTTCCCTTGAGCACTGGTGGGCGGTAAGGAAATTTTACCATCAAGAAAGATGCATTAGTGGGCAGTAGGTATAAAAAGGTTGACTATCCCTGCTTTAGTGGCATTAAGTTAAAACAGTAAAACCATAAAATCATACAAAGCCATCCAAATACATTGATAATCCAAACACATACAATATATAAAATAGATAGCCACCATTGAATAAATCAGGCAACTTTAGATTTAGCTTTAAAGATCTTGGCTAAGTACCCTGAAACAATCTTGGCAGTTTCAGTAGTATCATCCCTGGTATATGCTGCATAATTTTAAATTAACCTTATAATGCCACACTTAACTGCAATAACTTTGAATGTAAATGACCTGGGTACACCAATTAAATGAAGAAGGGTAAGGTCTGCTTTAAAGTGAGATAACCCAGACCTTATTTTTTTTACAAGAGACACATAAAAAAAGAAACACAAAACTTGTATAAAATCCTTCCTCCCAAGTGGAGGTGGAAATTGGTACCCCTCAAAAGGTTCTTCCAAAAGTAGGGGGTCAGCAATCTGGATTTCTCCCAAACTTGATTTTCATTTAAAAGATATACTAAGTGATCCCACTGGAAGATTTATTTTCCTCAAGGGTCTGATAGAGAACTCCTGGCTGACATTATGCTCTATTTATGTACCTGATACCCAACAATAACAATTTCTGGATGTAACTTTTCCAATACTGCACTCATTTATACAATGTGAAGTGGTAATAGGTGGTGACTTAAATCTTGTACTTAATGATTATTTTTATAAAAGCAGAACTTCTCACCTATCACAAAACCCGTGGAAACTGCCTTCGTTTAAAACATCCCTCTACAACATTTTACATAAACACAGCTACTTTGATGCTTGGTGCGTAGCAATGCAGAACTAAGAAACTATACACATGTCAGCAAGGTGCAAAAATTGTGCCAGATTGGATTATTTATTAATCACAGAAGGCCTTATCTCTCAGCTTCTTAATATCTTAGACCATGCCCCTGTTATCACCAGAATACAAAGAGGAATACTCAAACCTAAACCTTTCTAATGGAAATTATAGACCCCTGGAAATAAACTTTATTTTTTTCTCATGAGAAATTCCTTAAAGAGAGTCCTGATTTTTTTTACAAGATTAATTATATAGGAGAACAGACAACATGGAACCCCTTAGCTTTGGCATTGAAAGCAGGTGATGATGTAAAGGTTCTGAATTATTTGGGGGGAAAGCATCTTATCAATGTCTGCAGATGATGAACATATTCCTTTCTGATCCTGAAATCTAATTACCTGCTGTTATGCACCAACTTGCTACAAATGGCAAAATATCTGGATTCACTGTTAACTTCACCAAATCTGAGCTGATGTGTATACACACCCTGCCAAACCTACAACTTCATTGGCACAAAACAAGTGGACTGAAACTCTGTATGCACCTAAGAATCTATCTAAACTAGAAAAAAAACTTTACTTTCCTGATAGATTTATCAACTAAGCTCAAAAAATGGTCAAAGTTAACATTCTCACTGGGCATTCTATAAGACATGGTATCCCTTTATCAACTTTAGGAGACACCTTCTTTGGTTCCCTTTCTTGGAATGTCTAAAACTACAGACATCAGCTGCTATTTTTCTGTACAACTGTACAACTACTAAGCCCTGTTTTCTTTGTATGGGTATGTTTTGTTACCTGAAATTAAGAATATATTAAATAATAGCAATAACAGTAATAAAGACAACTTAACGTACCTTTATTTCTGAGGGTTTGGGGCTACAGAATCCCTCATCTACTTCAATCCTGAACTGAACGCCAGCAGTAGCGCCATTTCCTTCTAAGACAGTCCCTCCAGGCGTGGTGTCCATGCTGCCATATTCCTTGTTGTTCATATTCATGGGAGAAAACCCCATAATGTGTTGCTCCAAGGATGGTGGTGTTGGGTACATTTTATGAAGATCTGCAGTGCCTGGTTTAGATTTAAAAGGATTTTGAGAGAGAGAAAGAGAGAGATGTTGGGATGCTCACACATCACAGCTACTCTCATTTATCGCAAGTTTATCGTGTCTTCAAATGCTTGCCTGCAGCACATTCCCAGACTACACCATTAGCATAAAAATGTACACTCCATTAATATTTCCCTTGCTAGTGTTCTCTTTCCTTGTGCCCCAATCCCCAAACTGGGACTGTGAACCCTAGTGTGGGAAGTTCCCATGTGATTCATCCTACCTGTTTGGTGTAAGCTTGGCCCTTCAAAATATATTGCATGAAGTGGTCTCCCAAGTAGGTAGTTTACATACAAGGGTACAGAATTGCGGGGAGGGGGGGATATCTGTGCAGCAGGAACAGAAGACCAAGAGATGCGAAAGATAGCTGTAGGTGCATCATAGGTAAAGATACAACCCAACATGTGTGTGACTCACTATCAACAAGCAGCCAGTGGGGCTAAAGGAGCATAGGAAGATGGACAGTTATCAACCAACATCTGAAATGTGATACTTGTTTTCTGGAGTGAGCTAGGCACACCCAGCTTCTAAAAAGTTTGAATTCCACAACAGTAAATTTTCTAGAGATTTTCAACAACCCAAGACAGCCAAACTGCTTCCCCACTGGCTTCTGAATGTTGCTATTTTACAATTTTGTCACAGAATGCAAGTAAAGCATTCCAATGTCTTGAACTGGTCTTTGACCGTAATAATAATTTTTTTAAAAAAAGCATTTCTATGTTACTGGTGCTTATTAACTGTAGCAGCAGCAGCAGCAGCCACACAATAAAAAAAAAGCTAGTTTGTGAAGTAGTACACTCAGACATGTCGATTTGAACTAGCTGGGGTTAAGAGTAGGGCAGGGAGTGGGGAACCTTTTTTGGCCCAGCAAGCCAGATCTTTCTCTCTCCCTACCACGTAGACAGACTTGGACGCACCTGCCTGTTAATCATCTGATATCATAATGTCATAAGGTAATTTGACTGGTGGGTGGTCCTGCCCAACTATCAAAGTTGGCCAGGGAGGCAGTGAGAGATGGTGACCTTTCTGCAGGGATCGAGGGAATGAGAGCAGATTCTCTGCAGGGAAATCTCCTGTGCACCTGAACCAAGCAGGATTAAACTCCCCGGGCATTTGCCAACATGTCAGGAGTTCAATCCTGTTTTCTGAAGGGATCAACTGGACAAGCAACCAATCCCGCCACATCCCAAATATGACAACAGGCATGGGCAGCTAGCCAGAAGTTTCCCCCAAAGTATGTGTGTTTGGGGGGCTATGGAAGGAGAGAAAAAAGAAAGCAGCTTACTTATGCATGACAAAGGGTCCAAGTTTCCTGCTTTTGACTCTTTGCAGTTGGATTTGTCATCTGCTCCATTCAGCATTCTTTTAGATCCAGGCTAGAGAGGGAAGAGGAATAAAAGAAACTGACTCCACAGGTATCGCTGGATAAAAATAAGGTCTTGCACAGCTTCATCAATAGCAATGACTTTGCAGCTTTAAAAATCGTGCCATGTCATGGGTAAATTCAGAAACAGGCAGGAGTTTCAAAAGCAGTTTATATTGGATGTGCCCTGTGATTCAAAGCAGGCAGAAAGCTCACAATGCCTGCTCAAGCCCTTGGGTGTGCCTAAATTACCTCTCAGGATGCCAGCCATTTTGGTTCACTTTTCCAGAAAATGTATATGCGAAGCAACTTTAAACATCCAAATCACAGCACCAGACAATAACAACAAGGTTGACAAATTTTACAACCAAACAGCCAAGTAAATAAACAGAATCTGCTTCAAATCATGCTGCAGGATAAACATTATTTGCAGAGTTAAAAAGAGGGGGATTTGAGTTAAAATTTCAACATAGCCTCTGAAATTTGAGGAAATGTTGCACACAGAAACAAACATTGCACTTATTTAGAAGACTTTCCTACGCAACTCTGGGCCCCATATCATCCAGGCAATGGATCATCTAAGCAAGCTGTTTCCGTCAGCAGCCTCACTGACCTCACTTAGGAGGCTGATAAAGATGAAGTGTGAAGCAAGAGCCCATTTGCACAATGCATGTCTGTCATTCAGCAACTCTCGGCTAAGACTTATTATGCAAACTGCCTCCTTCAATCTATACTATTTGAGCAGTTCCCTTACTAAGGTACTGACTCTGCTTCAGCTGCTTTGCACATTCAAGTCCACAAATAACCCAAAAACGCATAACTCACATTACAGACAACTGTTATAGGGCAAGGCTTAAGATTATACAAACAGATCCAGTTCAATTGGAGAGTTATCAGAATGGCTCAGAAACTGCAAATAGGAAAACTGGTTCATTTTTTTCTTGTTTTTAGTTCTACACTGCCTTCGCTGTCATGTGGTGTTTCTTGACCCCCACTACAATATGAAGCTATGAAACATATCTTATCAAGCCACTTACTGTTAGCTCATCTTCATCAGAGTTGAAGAGATTGTCAAGGTCAGTGTAAGAGACAACCAGGTCATTTTCATGAAACAAACTAGTTGACGCTGTGCGATTGTGAGGGGGAATACGCTGGGCATCTATTGCTGAAAGGAGAGAGAGATCAAAGGCTCACCAATGGACTCTATTCTAGCAATTTAGATGATACAGTTTAATTACAGAACCTACTATCAAATAGAGGGATGCGGGTGGCACTGTGGGTTAAACCACAGAGCCTAGGACTTGCCGATCAGAAGGTCAACGGTTCGAATCCCCGCAATGGGGTGAGCTTCCGTTGCTCAGTCCCTGCTCCTGCCCACCTAGCAGTTCGAAAGCACAAAGTGCAAGTAGATAAATAGGTACCACTCTGGCAGGAAGGTAAACGGCGTTTCCGTGCGCTGCTCTGGTTCGCCAGAAGTGGCTTAGTCATGCTGGCCATATGATCCGGAAGCTATACGCCGTCTCCCTCGGCCAGTAAAGCGAGATGAGCGCCGCAACCCCAGAGTCATTTGCGACTGGACCTAAGGTCAGGGGTCCCTTTACCTTTACCATCAAATAAACCAATGCATATTTGTTGTTCTATCCAGTTTTTAAAACGAACAGCATGTGTTTCAAAACAGCAGTGTTACCTTGTTTGACAGAGGGGCTAAAAAGTGACATCGCATCCTCTCCAACATTAGGTGTCCCATCTTCAGCCTGCAAACAACAAAAGGGGGCAGCAGGCCGCATGAGTATGTGACTGCACCAAATGAGTTATTTAACATATAAAGCTGCCTTATACAGAGTCAGGCAGTTGCCTTTCAGATACAAGAGTATTAGTTGTCCCTTCTGCCTGGTATTGCCTACTCTCACAGGCACTTGCTCTCCGGCAAAGTTCTTCCCCATCACTTGCTACCAGAGCCAGCGTGGTGTAGCGGTTAAGAGCGATAGACTCGCAATCTGGTGAACTGGGTTCGCTTCCCTGCTCCTCCACATGCAGCTGCTGGGTGACCTTGGGCTAGTCACACTTCTCTGAAGTCTCTCAGCCCCACAGAGTGTTTGTTGTGGGGGAGGAAGGGAAAGGAGAATGTTAGCCACTTTGAGACTCCTTTGGGTGGTGATAAAGCGGGATATCAAATCCAAACTCCTCTTCTTCTTCCCTATGCCCTGTCATTTATCATAAACAGGTGACCGTGTGACATGGGGCAAGGCACCGAGACTGCTTTTTGAGAAACACAAGGACACACATGGATGCTTTAGCTGAGATTTCTGCAATGGAGGGGTTGGACTAGATGACCCTCGGGGTACCTTCCAACTCTACAATTCTATTACTCTGCAATCCCTTTGGGGCCACAGAACTAGTTGCAAGACTCTACATCCTCTTGGCTCATGTGTGCTCCTCACTTACTGTTTCTGCATATGCTCCTGGTCCCTCATTCCCTGTGCTGGGCTTCACCCAGACCTTTTCACTCACCTTGTGCTTTTTCCCAGCTTCTCGCTCGCTGTTCTGCCTGTCCTTTTTATCAGGAAAAGGGAATTCTTCATCTCCATCAACAAATGCATATGGATCCATTTCAGGTTCCTGGTCAGCTACTATTGCTGCTAGATACTGGTTCTTGCTCTGGTACTGCTGCACCAATTCATCAGAGACTTTTAAAGGTTTTCTACATTGCACCATTAACCTGTACACAGGAAAAAGACAAGGTTACAATGAATAGAAACCATATGCCAAAACCCTTCCAGTGATTAAAACCTTTAATCGCTTCTCAAATTGTAACCCATCTTTCCTCCAATGTGCTCAAGACAGCATTTATTACCCTGGGAGAGGTGGGCTGGTCAGCACAGTTCAACCAAAGCAAAGATCACCCAGTGAGTTTCATTGCTGTGCAGGGAGCTCAGCTGTCTGCTGTCCAAGTCTAACACATTTAAGCACCATACCTTACAAGTTCACCCCCAACACCACACACATAGTGGAATCCACCCCCTACCCCGCGCACACAAAATTATAAATTTTACTAGAGTCCCACAACTACTCTAGACAACAGTGGATTTCTTCTTCCTGAGTTTTTCATATGAGTTATTATCAATTTGGTATTTTAAAAGTCTTTATGTCCATTCCTAATTAGTACATGGCTTATGTCAGCTCTTCTTTCCCAGCACTTTACAATGAGGTCTTTAAAAAGGACAGCACTATTCACATCTCAGCTTTTGCTTATGTTTATCAGTATCAAACCAATTAGCACTTCAGTAACTGCCATGCTGGTACAGTACAGTTTATTATTACTATCATTATTATTATTTCCTTACATGCCTTTCACCACAAGGTCCCTGGGTGAGTTTGAACAACATAAAAATACAGTATTAAAATCAGTTAAAATAATATAAAATCAGATACATGACTGAAGAGCCTTTAGCTCACAAAAGCTTATGCCATAATTTTATTCTGGACATTATTCCAGGAGGGATTTCTTCTCTTAAAATTCATATTTTGCTAATGAATGAAGCAAAAACCACTTCTCTCACTGCCCAGAGTTCACATTATTCTCTGCAATGAAGGTCTTTTGTGCACCAAGACCAGAGAAATATGCTTCACGGGAGCATACAGCAGTACAGTTGTAGATAATGGATGGTTTAGACTAGAGCAGGGGAGAGAGACTGTGGTATCCTGGGAGACCACTGACCAGCTTCTACTAGATCAGCTGGGACTCTCTGCAAAGTTTGCAGGAGTTAGGGAAACTTGATCTGATCTAGCAAGGCAGTTATGAAGATCAGACCTAGATTTATTAGCTTCAGTTAGCTGGCTGCATCAGGTGTCTTCAGATCATGCACTGGGACCATGCCTTAACTGTGATCGTCTCCATTCAATCTATTCAATCTCCTCAGGGTTTAAAATGCACAGGTAGGCCTCTCTGCTTCAGACTGTCATCCTCAAACTCATGGAGGGTTTCATTCTGTACAGCTGAGGTTCCCTAACTGAGCTCAGTGGACCACCAAAGCTTCATTCAGGTATCTCAAGGCAAGCCCGCATTAAACATTCATATTTTTAACTGTCTTTTTACTGCTGCTTTTATTTCTTATGTTTTGTTTCTGTGTTGCAATTTGAATTATATGGAGTACAAATTGGAATGCAATAAAATACAATGTAACAAACAAAGGAAACAGTAAAAAATACAATTAAAAATATAGAGCATCTATCACAGCACATTGCAATTGTTATAACCGATGGAAAAACAGTTAAGTGGCCTGCCAAGACAACCAGCAAATTTCAAGTGGTCAGAGGGAGGACGGAGTTCGGGAGGCACTTGTGTAGTGATTCCACGGCAATGGGGCAGGTCTTGGCAGCACATCTTCAGTTTTTTACATGGGAGGAGCTTGAGCAGCTGAATGGGGTTTCATAAAATTTAAAAACAGCAAGTTAAGTCAACCCATCCTTGGGTTAAACATTTGCAATCTGAATAATAACCAGTGGTATCCATTTAGAAACACATTAGCAAACCTTTTTATTTTTTTTAAAGGCTCAAAGTTTTGAAGTCGCTCATAGCCAGTAAGACCACTGGAAGGCTATTCAGACAAAGAAACTTTACATTAGGTAGTTCAGTTAAGCCATAACTGGCTAATGCAGGCATCTAGCAGGCTAATAATAATTTTAAAAAGCGCTGTTGCTTTATGAAAGCACTTGCAAGACTCTTATAAGAAGTAGTCTCTGAATTGAAAGGCTGTCAGCAGATTGAACTGGAACCCAAGGTCTAATACATGGGTCAGCACCCGGGGGGCCCTGGCCAAATCTTCTCCTAAGAGCTGCAAACCAGGTCCTCCCATTGCAGAGCGAGAGGCAAAGGAGGTGTGGAGGGAAAGGCACCGGGTCAGCTGACCCAACCTGCACACCAGAACAGGAAGAGGATGGTTGAAGTGCTGGCCCATCGCCTTCCCTGCCACCTCAAAGTGGCCCTCCAGAAAAGCAAGCTGCTGAGCAAGAGCTTAAAAAGAACCAGAGGATTCTCTGCAAACTAAGCCTGTTTCTCATGGTGGTGGTAACCCTCTGTCTGGGCTCAGGTGGGGGCCTCCATGTGTGAATGCTCCTCTTTACTCAGTCATGCAAGCCCCCACCTGCAGACTTGCAATGCTACAGCAGACAAAGGTTTACCACTACTGTGAGAACTAGGCCACAGGCACGTTAAAAGAGATAAACAACCTCAAGCCCAGGAAGTGAAAATAAGAACACACTTTTCGGTGCTTTACACATCCTCAAACTACTGTAGTAGATGAAAATATAATCAATCTGTTTCAAGCATGACTATTTGGTGCATGCTCTTCCCAGGCCTCAAGTAACTTGAGAATAACTTTGCACAGTGGATTTTCCAACCAACAGGAGCTTCGGCCTGCCCTCCCTGGCCACAGAGACACATTTGATCAAGTCCTGTAGTAGGTCTTTTCCTAAACCGCCTCTCAGGTGGGCAACGAACTGGCTGCAACTGAGCTGGCATTTCTATCTGGAAGCAGCTGGGATGCTCTCATGACCCTTGGCAACACCACACACCAGCGATTTCAATACTTTTTACCTTCCCATGTCAAGTTGTTTGCTGCTGCAGGGATGTTGGCCTTCACTGTTATTCTAGATATTTATATCCTGAATCTCTGCCCCAAATAGAGACAGCCAAGGTGGCTTACATTTAAAAAAAAAAAGTCTATGAACACTGGAATTTGCAACAGTAAAAAAATACTTAACGGCTGCAGATAACACGACTTCACAGTGGAGAGGAGAAAAACCAATATCTAATTCAAATAAGCAGTATGTCAAAGGCCTGCTGGCTCAGAACCATCAGCTTCAAGCAAACTGCTACCAGGAGGGAACAAAATGGATTTCCCAAGGCAGGGTGTTCTACAACCTAGGTGAGGCAACAGACAAGGTCCCGTCATGTGTATTCCCATCAACTGTACTTCAGGGAGCAGTGAGACATGAAACATCTTCTGCCCAGACAGGAATATAGGATATACCAAAAACAGACCATTGGCCCATCTCTAGCTCAGCACTGCCTATATATAGTTAGGCAGTGACTCTTCTAGGTCTCCAGCAGGAGCTTTTCCCAGTCCTACTTGGACACCAGGAATCAAACCTGGAACCTTCTGCATGCAAGGCAGATGGCCTACCACTGAGGTATGGCTCTTCCCCTGATCTGAGCTGTGTGGAAGGCTCATAAGGTAGGAGGCAATTCTTTCGATATCCTGATCCTAAGCCATTTCTTGTGCAGAGATCAGGCCACAGAATATACTCAAGAGGGAAAGAACAATAACAGAATATTTTACTGATCTCCTCATTCATGAACAACTACACAAAGTTCCTCAGAATACCATTTGTAAGGCACTATTCAGATTTATTTCTATTTTAAAAAACTATCTTGTCCAGAAGCAGAACAACTTTTTGGAAAGACAACAGCACAGGAAACCTGCTGACAGCATTGTTTTGTTAAATTGGCACCTGCCTTCAGAATAAGCTCACAAACTAAACCAAAATGAGATCGAAAAGGAAATGCATGTTTCCTTACCCTTGAACAAGAGCAAAAGAACAGCTGAATATTATTCAGAGTTTGAAAATGTTACCAAGCAGCTAACAGCTGATGCACAAAGGATGAGCGACAGTTGCAAGCAGCACACTCAGCTTTTACAAAACTGTAGAGCTTATTGGTTTGTGTGGGACTTTTTGTTTTATTACGTATTTTGTGTTTTTTATCTTGCATTTTTATGTTGGGTACCGACCGCCTTGAGATTTATGGATTAAGGGAGGTATACAAATTTAATAAAGAAGGCTGATCGCCGAAGAATTGATGCTTTTGAATTATGGTGCTGGAGGAGACTCTTGAGAGTCCCATGGACTGCAAGATCAAACACATCCATTCTTAAGGAAATCAGACCTGAGTGCTCACTGGAAGGACAGATCGTGAAGTTGAGGCTCCAATACTTTGGCCACCTCATGAGAAGAGAAGACTCCCTGGAAAAGACCCTGATGTTGGGAAAGATGGAGGGCACAAGGAGAAGGGGACGACAGAGGATGAGATGGTTGGATAGTGTTCACGAAGCTACCAGCATGAGTTTGACCAAACTGCGGGAGGCAGTGGAAGACAGGAGTGCCTGGCGTGCTCTGGTCCATGGGGTCACGAAGAGTCGGACACGACTAAACGACTAAACAACAACAACAAATTTAATAAATAAAAAATAATGAGAAGCTTACTAATTTTTCCTCTACCAATATGGAGGGGAAAAGGAATTATTAAGTGTTGGTGGGCTGCTTCCAGTCTCAAGATAAAATCAATGAACATATTTTCAAACTTCTAGTTCTAGATTTAAATGCCCACTTAAATCCAACAATTACAGGTGGGCTCTGCCTTTGTTTTCATTAGCTCATTCAGAGACAATCCAACTTTGTGCCCCTTTCATCTCCCTCTATTTTCATGTCTCAACAGCAGCTGTACACATCTCCTATGATTGTCTTAGAATACTTCAGACACACGAGTTGCAAGTTCCTAATGCCAGGATTATTTCAGGAACATAACAGCTCTTTTGAGATTCAGCAGTAATCAAGGACAATTAAGTTGACTGTTGGTTAGCAAGGAGGATGAATTACAAAAAAGGTTGCTATGAAGCCTTTGCACAATGGAAAAACAAAAAAGAAAGAAAGAAATGATCCCCTTCTAGACATACAGAAACCAGAATACAGCCCCTCAAAAAACTCCCCCTACTGCCACTTAACTAGCACTCATAGGACATTGGGCACTGATGTTTACAAGTATACAACTAAGATGTTTTAAGCACATACTTGAAAACTTCAAAGGTGTGGACAAACATGAGTTGATAAGCACATGTCTCATGCAGATAAACTCATTACTGTGCCAAGTTTCAGTAGGTAGCTATAGCCAATGTACTTTTAGGGATAAACCCAAGGTTTGCTGCCACGTTTTATGTGACAAAGCCTAGCACAGGGGAAGGCAACCGAAGGCCAGTGGGCTGGGTGCGGCCCAATCGCCTTCTAAATCCAGCCCACGGATGGTCCAGGAATCAGCGTGTTTTTACATGAGTAGAATGTGTCCTTTTATTTAAAATGCATCTCTGGGTTATTTGTGGGGCCTGCCTGGTGTTTTTACATGAGTAGAATGTGTGCTTTTATTTAAAATGCATGTCTGGGTTATTTGTGGGGCATAGGAATTCGTTCACATTTTTTTCAAAATATAGTCTAGCCCCCCACAAGGTCTGAGGGACGGTGGACCAACCCACGGCTGAAAAAGGTTGCTGACCCCTGGCCTAGCATCTGCTGAACTGAGCCCCCTGAAAGGAGCACATGCTGCACAGCACTTGCCATTTCCCCCTCCACTGCCCCGAAAACTGTGTGCCAAGGCTCAGAGAGAGAAAAAGATGTAAACATTCACTCTCTGGCTCACTGGCAAAGACTACTTACCCTTATAGCAGCGCCAGTTGTCATTTCAGTTGCCCCCACCAGAACCATAAGCTGCTGCACCGATTAAGAGAAGCAGGAGGAACCCCAGCGGCACAAAAATTACTCAGCAGACAAGTGAGGACTTCTGAATTTCTGGGTACCAGGTCACAACTTTGTAAGGGAGGCCCATGTTCAATGGAGACTTTGGGATTTATGAGAAAGCCTTTCTATAGCACCACTGCCTCATTTAAGAATGTTTATAAAGAAGCAAGCCCTCTTTAAGCACACATGACGTGGGAAGGGAGTCAAAAAGTGACAAGAGATAAGGGCAAGTGAAAGGTGCCATCTTTGCACAGGCCACAGAGCTCTGGTTCCAACTGTGAAAGGTAAGAAGTGGTGATGTTGAGCAACTGCCCTGTGAACAGGGGCTAGAGGAGAGCCAAACAAAGACACCAGAACAGCACAGAACCATCCCTCCTGCAACCCAACCCCATTCAAAAATGATTCCTCACACAGACACTTTTTAAAAGCAGCTTTGAAAGCTGGTCTTTCAAAGCCAAGTCTTAAGACTGCACCCCCTCCCCATCCCCTTCTTTTCCCACTCCCCTTCCCAGGTTCCATTTCTGTGATTAGTTTCTATTACAAGTCAATTAAGGAGCCATTTCTATCATTTCAAACTCAAGTTAGCTGCCCTGAGCACACAGGATAGGACAAGATATAAATCTTGCTGATACTCTGATATCAAAGAAAACACTCTCCAACAGATCCAACAGACATGGGGCAAGAGATAAGTGAGAAAGCTCAAAAAGAAGTTAACTTCAGTCATGTTCCCTTTAAAAATCAGAGGACATGATTTCCCTTTTCATTCCACAGATTCCAATGTATTGCAGAGTTAGTTACAAGCTTAGAAGCTGGGAAACCCACAAAGGGATTTTGCTTTTGACTGAAGTGAAAACAAAAATCTAGAATGGAAACTATGATAAATCATCTAGCTGAAACAGAGCTTTTTATTCATAACACATAAAGGAGATTCATCAGCCACAGAGAACAAGGGAAACAAAGGCAGACCAATTCAAATATTTTGTGGTTTTAAGTCCACAGCATAAGCTGCATTTTAAAACTGGTATTTCATTTATAAATAATAGCTCTTTTAGCAGCGAACACCGAGAGGTATTCAATTAAATGGTAGGTCCACTTTCAAGGATTTGACACACTCCTAGTTACATAGTCCTCTCTGAAGGAAATACAAAAGCTTCCAAATCTTAATAGCATCAGTGGAGTTCTTGGACCAGGTTGGCTCTATAGCAGACATGGGCTATCACTCAAGTGGCTTTTTATAAAGAGAATAAAAATTTCCAAGTAGGGGGAAACTGCAAAAATTAGTTGAACATATAATTTAAGCCATCTAGCCCAGTATTATCTTTTGACAAGCAGTAACTTCCAAGGTCTCAGATTTCTTTCGCAGCACTTGTTACTTGAGATCCTTTGAACTTGGAAATGCCAGGGAATAAAACCTATGAACTTCTGCATGCAAACCACATACTCCAGCCCCATGCTGTGCCCCCTCCCACCAAATTCAAATGGTACAATCATCCAATCCCTCTAGGATTTGAATACAGGACCTCTCACACTCTGAATGAGAATTTGAATTTTCTAGTACTCATACATATACACAATTGAGTGAATACTTCTGCATTTTGATCCTGGACATTCACAATTAAAATGCCCACAGCAGAACCACAAGTTGAACCATGATAATACAAAGGAAAACAAAATTATCTTCTCATAAGAACTAAGAGGTTTTTGGATTAGATGCAAATTCTGCTTTTAGAAGTTAAAATATAAGGTATGCTTACTCTGTAGCTGAAGGTAAGTTGTCTGATCCTGCAAATCCCATAGGGTCATCCTTGAACTTTTCACTTGGGAGCTGTGGTGGCAAGAAATTCACGTCCTTTTTCTTTGGAACCTTGTAATACTTCCACGTGGAATCTGCATCTTCTTCTTCCAAGTTCACCGCTGCACCAACATACATTGTGGGCTCTATAACTTCTGGGAATTGAGCTGGGAAAGTCTGAGACAAGCCCTCTATCCTGTCTTCCATTGTTTTTGAAGGAACTAAAGGATCTGGAGTTGGCATCTGATAGAAATGCTGGCTCTGGGGAGTGGAAGGAGTTTTAGTTGCCCCTTCATCAGCAACATCACACGGGTGAGGACTAAGGGGAGGTGGCTGGGGAGAATTTGCCATTTCAGTGCCATGCATCTGAGGAGTCTTTGCTACATCATTAGTTCTGAGATTTGAAAACCTCACTTGGTTATCGGACGTGGTAATCACAAGCCTCTGATTGGCCGAGTCCGCCTCCATGGCAATGTCATCAGTGATGGAAACACGATGGTGAAATGGGGTCAAAGGACGTTTCTGGGGCTTATCTCCTTTCTCTTGCTTCTCATTTGCCTTGTGCTTTGGAGCTGCTTGCTGTTGCTGGCCCACAGGAGGCACTGGCCCCTGCTGAATTGCAAGTCTTGGCTTGAGACTTTTGTACCTAAAGAGGGGCAGGAGAGAGAATTGGGGTGGGAATCATCTGTACTGTTAACTGCCAGTAGCATTTCACATTTCGGCAACCATTACACAAAAGTGAATCCAGCTAAATATGTTGATACGCAGACGTAACACTTGTCCATGATTATTATACTGCTTTGTGGTTTAGCTCAGTGAGTTAAGCCTTACCCTTGCAGCTTACGAACAGGGAGACACCAACTAGTCACCTTAGTAGCAGAGAGCATGAAGAGGTGGCAAAGCTGCCTTAACCACAGTTTTCTCAGTGCACACACGCGATGCTTACCCACAGTTAGCGGAAGTCATTGTTTGCAAACCCACTTCCAACTGTGGCTTCCCATCCTGATTTCCATCAGTCCTTAACTGTGGTTTAGGCATTCAGATGCAATGCTTAATAATGGTTAAGCATTATGCTGCCACAGGGGAACACATTCCTCCTACAACTATTGGCAAATGTATATGCCTTAATGAAGCATTTACAACCAAGTAAAAAGAGAGGACAGAGAAGGAGACAGGATAACATATCAAGATGCTGCTGCTGTTCCACTTAGACCAGGCATAGGCAAACTCGGCCCTCCAGAAGTTTTTTGGACTACAATTCCCATCATCCCTGACCACTGGTCCTGTTAGCTAGGGATGATGGGAGTTGTAGTCCCAAAACATCTGGAGGGCCAAGTTTGCCAATGCCTGACCTAGACTGTCCCCTGGCCCACCTATTAACTGACCTCAGGGAAAGACCCGAAAGAAGGAAAGACAAGCAGGCAGAGAAAACACCAGCTACCTATGCTTGCTCTAGCTGGGCTAGATTTCCTTTGTTTTAAGCATATGGTTTTTAATGTGCCCATTGCATTTTATCTAAGGACTTGCCATCAAAAAGGCGGCTACAAATCCACTAAATCAGTCGTCTTCAACTCTTTTAGACCCAGGACCCACCTTTAATCCAAATCTGCATTTGGAGAACAATTTCTTTCTATCTTTTTACCATATATTTGTATGGCGGTAGTGCTGTTGTGCCTCATCTTAGTTCAAAACCCTGTTAGTGGATCCCAGCTCATCAGTTAAACACCAATGCACTAAATAAAATAAAGTTCCAAAGAGCCTATACACCTAGTCTGTTAGCTTACCGTATTGACCAACATGTTACCTTCTTACTGTTTTATAATTTTTCTAAAATGGATCCTGAAAGATTCCTGCATAGTTTTACACACTACAACTGAATGTTCTGCAAACTTTACCTTGAGCAAGTGCAGTTTGTCCTCTGCGTGGCTTCAACAAACTCCCAAAATGACATTTTGTCAACTGTCTCATCTTCGCATACGCCATTAGATGTAGCAGAATACTTCCTCCTGCATTGCATTTGGGAGAGAAATTCTTCTTTTAAGTGAACTGATGAAAATTGTGGAGAAAACATGAATCTGTGGTGGATCATATAATTACTGAATCTATACACTTTCCTGGTTCACCTGTGTCTAGAAAGAATCATATTGGACAAGCTGGATTTTTCTCTCTTTGAAGCTGATGTTGTACCACAAATGACTAACAGGTATGTGTTTTGCCAGGCAGTAAAATATCTTTCAAGTTAGTACCTTTTGTGGACTTACAACGTGTGTGTGTGTGTGTGTGTGTGTGTGTGTGTGTGTGCACATACATACACAGATGAAAACTTTCAGGAAAACGCAGATAACATTTACCATATCAATCCAACGTAGTAGAGTCATACCTTGGGTTACAGACACTTCAGGTTGTGCGATTTTGGATTGCACACCGCGCCGAACCCAGAAGTACCGGAACAGATTACTTCCGGGTTTCAGCGCTTGCGCATGCACAGAAGCACTAAATCACGCTTTGCGCATGCGCAGAAGTGCTGAATCACGACCTGAACGTGCGCAGATGCGGCACTGCGGGTTGCGAACGTGCCTCCTGCACAGATCACGTTCGCAACCCGAGCATCCACTGTACTGTATTTAAACTGCTACAATTAAGAGGGCCATTTCTATATCTATCTATAAAATTATGATTCACGTGAAGTTTCCCTCCCTCTCATCTAAGTCTCACACAAATGAGGTTGACTGGCAGCTGGTTCAGGACTTACAAAAAAGAAAGAAAAAAGAAGGAGCTTTTTACACTATGCATAACGAACTTAAGAAATTCAGTGCCACAAGATGTGTGGCAATACCCACAACTTTGTGCAATATTAGATTAGCACAAAGGGGGTAGGCCTATTAGCAACCGTTAGCCCACAGCAGCTAAATGGAGTCTCCCACACTGAAAGGCAATCTGCTTCTGACTTCTAGATAAGGAGGGGCAACCACTACCATAAGACCTTCCTTGTGCATCTGGGTGGCCAGTGCTGGAAACCAAAATGCTGGTCCAAATTCCAGCAAGGGAATGGCTTAACGCAGCTTAACTGCACCACCTAGAACTAGGAATCTCAACAGAGTAATGGCTCCTTCCACAGGTCCCCACACCGTGTGTGCAGGTTTGCTGCTGCTCCAGATACAAAGAAAACAGCCTTCATTACAGGCCATTATCTTCCTCCCTCCCTTTCCCAAGAGCCTGCCAGTTCTCATTAAAGAGTGATTTATCTGCCCACTAAATACACCCTGTTATCTGCTTGGCATTTGATGTTGACTTTTGTATATTGTTTTGTCTTTGTTTGTTGCTCAAGCTTTAATAAAAATAGCTTTAAAAAATAAAATAAAACAAAAACCTAAATACACCACCTGTTCTGGCTTTCCTATTGCTCCCACTTGCTGCCTAGTCTTCCCAAACTAACTCCCAAGCTAGGACACAGAGTCCAATTCCAGCAGACTAACCTGGCAGCATGGAGGGGGAAAGCAAGGAAATATTCTTTCTTAGTGCCTTGATCAAATATTATTCCTAAAAATGCTGGAATAAATTAATTTATCCAGAGTGTGCCTGCTATATGGAGAAGGAAATTGAGGAGATAGGCTGGGCAAAGATAGATTCAGGGTAAAACTCTCTGGACAGAGAGTTTCCAAACATGTTGCTGCCCAGGGCCTTAGTAGTTTCTTACTAGTGAGTAGCAAGTCGACACACTTTCTTCCAGGATAGAAGGGTAAAGGAAGTATAGGTTAGGGAACATACATTAGTTCCTCTGGGATGGGAGGTGGCACTTTCTTGGGTCATAGCCAAGGGAGAGATGGGAAGGGAGAGAAAGCTGGCCAATACAGCAATCGATAAAAGTGTTTTACACATCCCCATCCATCTCCTTTACATGCCTCTGATGTCTTCAGACTTGGGTGAGCAACAAATTAAAAACACTAAAATGTACCAAGCAATTAAAGAACATGTGCAGCTTTGGTTGAACTCATTTGAAAGCTACTGTGTTCCACATTTAAGTACAGATTTTACAATGTCTCCATATGAACACATGCACACAAAAACATCATACATACTTGGTCAGCGCTCTGTTCATATTGCATTCTTGCCAGACTCTGTCAACCACTTGATTGGCCAGCTTCCGAGGGATTTTGCCCCCATGGTGACTAATGCTTTCGGAGCTGAATATGTCAGAAATAGAAGGGAGCTTCACCCACTTCTGGGCTGAACGAGTATCAACTGAAGAGAAAGAGGGACGGCAACACAAGAGTTAAGTAGACGGTTAAACTTTATCCATCGTATCTGCTTAAACAACACCCCCCCCAAAAAAAACAACCCAGTTTTTATCGCAGGGACAAAAAATCAGAACGCAAGATCAGAGGCAGCCACAGCATTTGCAGGCACCAAATAGTTGTTTTTTAAAAACAACAACAACATTGTCTTCCTTTGAATTACTACTCTGAGACATAGCAGATAAAAAGGCACTAGAAGTGTCACATTAAATTAGGCTTCGTCTGTTTCTCATATACAAATTACAGAGCATTACACAAATTATGGTCAAGTTATTTGTTTGTTTGTATACCACTATTTCATTCATCCCCTTCATGGATCACTGCCTTGTCATGGCGAAGGGGCTTGAATAACTCCAAAAAGCTATGAGCTATGCCGTGCAGGGCCACCCAAGATGGCCAAGAGTTTAGACTAAATGTGATCCACCTGGAGAAGGAACTGGCAAACCACTCCAGTATTTTGCCAAGAAAACTCCATGGACATAAAAAAGGAGAAGCTTTGAGAAGAAAGTGAGAGTTTCCAAGGCATGCTCTGGTTCGTGGGGTCACAGAGAGTCGAACACGACTAAGACGACTAAACAACGACAGTTTCATTCATCTCTCTCTCTCTCTCTCTCTCTCTCAAAGCATTTTATGGCAATAAAAACTTAAGATCATGCAATATGGTTAAAAATAGAAAAAAAATTGAACTAATACTTCAAATACTGAAGTATTTTGAAGTATACTGAACAAACACAAGTTTCAAAGTATGGAACAAAAGTAAGAGACAGTAACTAGGTTCTATCCAGTTTTGAAGCATGCACACCCATCGTGAATGGTCAGACCTACAGACACTTGTGCTCAGAAGTCTGTAGTTTTTATCATGACAGATTGCATGGAGTGCAATCTCATCTATCTCTCCTGCACATTCCTGCTTTCTACTCTCCAATTTACCATGGAAAACCTCATCAAAGCACCAGGGACTGAGAATGGACAGCAGCATGCACTCAGAAGGTATCCATTGGATTTCATTGTCTAAGGGTAGGGGTTGGAAAGCACATGAGGCCACCACCTTGCTCAAGATGAGCAGACCTGGGTCTAGTCAGTGCCTTGGGAATCACATCAACTGCCCCTTTGGTTCCATGATGGAAGAAAGGCAGGATATAAACATCAAAAAATAATCATGGTATTAACCATTACTTTATGTCAGGGGTCAGCAAACTTTTTCAGCAGGGGGCCGGTCCACTGTCCCTCAGACCTTGTGGGGGCCCGGACTATATTTTGAAGAATAAAAATAAAAATGAATGAATTCCTATGCCCCACAACTAACCCAGAGATGCATTTTAAATAAAAGCACACATTCTACTCATGTAAAAACACGCTGATTCCCAGACCGTCTGCAGGCTGGATTTAGAAGGCAATTGGGCCGGATCCGGCCCCTGGGCCTTAGTTTGCCTACCCATGCTTTATGTCATGCTGATGAGAGGCCATTTGGGCAGGGAGAACATGTCAAAACAGTACCTCCCCTTTGTAGATTTTAAATATGACAAAGCTGATGGATGGGGAAGGAGTTTTACTATACCTGTTTGAACCTCTTCTGGGGACGTAGGTGGAGTCAGAGTGACCGAGGACATGGCGGGATCTCTTGTGGAAGCAGGCACTTGGTGGACACCCAAGCAGTTGCTTGACCCAGCAGTGCTAGGAACAGGAATGTCTGTCTGAGGAACTAAAACAAAGCATGCCGGGTAGACCATCCGAACACCAGCTAAAAATATATAAACAGAAAAAGTTTATTACACAGTCCAACCCAGGCACAAAGTACATCACTACCCACTGTAACATAAACTGCTTTTTAAGCCTTGCTTGAAACAAACAAACAAACAAAAAATCTGACAGGCAGACAATTAGAATTCTCCACCCTCATTTTATCCTCACATGCGAGAGAGGTTGGGTTGAACGGCCACAATTGGATCAGCATCAACCAATGAGTTTCCTGGCAGAGAAAAGTTCTTCACACTACACAAGTGATCCTCTCATCAAGGAAATCCAGAAGTAGCTTCCCTGAAAGGCAGCTGCAAGAGAGGGTTTGGAGTATATTCTTGGTTCAAGCAGAGCGAAAGAAGGGCCAAACAAGCCTGGAGAGTGAACTAGCTGCACTTGGAACATGACCCAGAATTTTTGGAAATGTGAGATTTTTTTACATCACATATGGGGGCTCCTTAGCAAAGTTTGAAAGCCACCACACTCCACTACACTAAGCAGTATCAATTTCAGCAACTGCTTATTAATAATAACATATGATGCAGTAAGTAACTGTTTACAAGAGGGTCAACATTCCTTAAGGGGCAAATCTGTCAGGGAGTGTTAGCAGTGGATGTGGCCAGAGCCAAGAATGGGAAGGGACATCCCATTTTCTATTCCCCCCCCCCACCTCTGCAACTGCCTTCATTTTCTGCCACCTCCTTGTCTCCCTCCTCACCCCAAAGGCTTCAACGGGCAGACTTGGTAGTAGGGGTGGGAGGAGAGGAGCGAACAGATTGCTCTTGGCCAATATCTGAACCAAGAGCCTGCAGAAGGCTTTTGAAATTAGGTTGGGGTGCAAGTGGCCCACCCCTGGTTTATGACAAGCTGCAGGAAAACTGTTTAATATAACCTGAAAATTGCCAACATCTCCCCTTTCACAGACATCCCAATGAATGACTCAGAAAATTACTAGCATCTCCACTAAGCCCTGTAACACATGGCTTACGGTTCTCTTCAACTATGAAATCTGAAACTATTTCCGCTGTTGCATATAAATCCTTGATGGCCCCAATCATTTTGCCCATGCCTCAATTATTCTTCTGCCCAGTGCTGGGCTAAAAGCATGTTACTTGTCAGTGATGCAATATAATTTATCTACCTTTTCTTTTTCTCCACTAAAAGCAGTAAGACTCCTTGTCATCTTCCTCATAAATCCTACTCTAGTTTGTCTTATAATAGTGCCACTCTTCTCAGTGAAAATGCTTTAAATTTCAATCCAGTCTACCGCCATTCTTCTTCTTTTTAAAGTTAAATAACGACATACGCTTCATTGTGACTTATAATTCCTCTGACACTCTTGAAGCAAATCGAATTCTCAATTGTTTTCACTCTAGGAGGTCAGTTTTGTAAATTTTGGCAACTAACCTTAGTGCTAAAAGAAGCACAATTTCTTCTGACTGCTTACAATATTTCCCTTTCCTTCATCTAAGAATCTCAAGATAGTATACATGGTTCTCATCCATCATTTTATCCTTTGTAATGACATTGTGAAGTTTATCAGGCCAAGAGCTATAGTGACCAACACAATAGGATGACTGCTATGCAAGAGGAACTTGGGTAGCCAATGTATTACAGCTTTGTAGGACTCCCAGCTCCCACCAGCCCCATGGGCCAATGGTCAGAGATTATAGAAACTTTGGCGGGCACGAAATATATAGGGATGTGGGTGTATGAATGATGCACCTACCTTCCTCTAAGCCTTCCTTTCCCTTTGCATTACCAACCACAAACTGTTTCCTTTGTCTTAAAATGTTCCATGATCAGATCTGTCTGACATCTTGTGCCCCCGCTACAATCCACGCTCCTGGTGTTTGTTGTTTTTACACTTTCTTTCCCTCCATTTGCTCTAGTTTACCTTGACATTCTATGTAATAACTTGCTCATAGTTTTAGTGTTCAGTTTTTCAGCAAAGCGTTTGAATCCTTTTAACCTCAAGATTATCTCAAACAAACTATACTAGTTCCCATTTAAACAAAAGCTAGTGGGATATCAGAACTATGACAATTAGTTATTAGACATGACCGTTGTGCCTAGCTCTTGCTTAGAAGGAAACAGGAGTCACCAATTTTAACTTTAGCAGCAAGGCCTTTTTTAAAACAGGCAATTAACAGCTCCTAAATTGTCTCTCCTGTCCCATTCCTGATAAAGATAGCTCATCAGCAATTTTTTTAATAACACTGCAACACTTATAGAATCATTTAGTTGATTTAAAGACATAGTCTGATTAAAAGAATGTTTTTTTTAAAACAAGGCAACAGCACAAATTTTTTACATTTCCAATTTACACAAAGGTGACCAATAAGATGTTTTTTTTTGGGGGGGGGATTGTTACTACTAAATCTACACTACATATGAACTAAGTAAGTTTTCACAAGTGAAGACCATCTTGACTGGTGACAATGCATTTAATCAGAGACCAGAGAGCTGCATTAGGCACTTCAGAAATAGTAATTAAATAAAGCAATTTCATTTGCTGGAGGCAGGTGGGGACCCTCCAGGTGTTGCTGGACTAGACTACTCATCACCAATGGCCATGCTGGCTGAGGCTTATTGGAGCTGGGAATCCAACAGTATCTGGAGGGCTACAGTCCCTCCCACCACTGGTTTAGGGATTTAAAAAGCTTTCATACCAACAAGGACTTCCACAGCAGCGAGAGAGTCATCCTCCCAATCCATTTCTTCTTGCTTTTCCTCCAATCCCTCCTTCAGGTTGGATGTGATAGGATAGAACTGTTTCCATTCCCCAATCAGTTTTTTCGTAGCTGAATCAGACAACTTGAACGACTGTCCAGTGAGTGTACCATTTAATCCAAAGGGACTTAGAATAACTACAAATACAAAGAACAAGAACATTTGTCATTCACCAGCACCACCCCAAAAAGATCTGCAATGTATACCCAAGGGCGGTTGGTGTGTCAAGGGGCTAAGCTTCCATGTGCAGTAAATTTGCAAGGGAAGTTAAATCTTTTCAAGGATTCCAGTTTTGCTGGATGGCTTGCCAAAACCTGGATACCATCACTGCCCCCATGAAGGGCTGCAAAGACTCTTATTTGAGATCCATTTCAGTGGCTAAAGTTAAGCAGCTATTAGAAGCTTTAGGGTGAACATTCCAGTTCAGAATATTTACAAGAATCATTACCAAAGCCTGCAAGGCAGGGCAGAATAAAAAATAGCCAATGTAATTAGTCAATAGCATGGGATGCCATGGGTAGCTCCAACCCTCTCGCTGATTTAATCCAAGGGCAATTCAAGGACACATTCCAGTCAGGCAAAAACATTCAAGAAGGCTATGAAGAAGGACTAGACTAGTAGGGGTGTGGCCTTGAGCAAATTCCAGGGGCCAGATTCACCCACACACCTGGGTCTGAGGTTCCCCAGCACTGTTCTATGCTCATTTTTCTTTGGAAATTTCCAACTAAGGCTAAAAGCTGAATATTGCTTCATATTAAGGGAAGTTCTACTATCTATCATTTTTGTTTTTTATAAAAATGTTTACATAACACTATTAATAGAGAATATCAGAATGGTTTACAAAAACTATATATAATGCTATACATATATATATATATTTACGAAAGCAAATATATATATATATATATATATATATATATATATATATATGTGTGTGTGTGTGTGTGTATATATATATATATATATATATATATATATAGTTAAAACCAGAAATCAGCTAAGTTTTATGGAAAGCTATAGTCTTATTTGCCTGGATAGGACAGAAAAATGTAAGTTTTCAGCAGGTGTTTAAAAGTTCGAACAGAAGTTTCCTGCTCAATCCCTATTGGCAGATTATTCCATAATACTGGACGGATAACACTAAAGCAGGGGTAGGCAACCTAACCTGTTTAACCAGCCCATGGACCCTCGCCACCCACTCAGTTGGCTCCCGTGCGCCATGCTAAACCAGCGTGGAACAGAGCAGGGACTGCCTTCCGTGATGCTGGCTGGCTTCCCATTGGCTTCAGGAAGCTCCTGCAGCCAGTGTGAAGCTATGCACGTCTCCTCCACGCCGGAAGGAGCCAGAAATAGTGTTTGTGCATGTGTGCGTGCATGCACACTCCGGCCCACCACGGCATCTGCGGGAACGTGAACCGGCCCAAGTTACAAAAACTTTGCTGACCCCTGCACTAAAGGCTTGGTTTTTTATGACTTAGGAGGCTATTCAGGCATATTACAAGAAAAGTGTGGGCAAAAATCTTGTGCTTTTTTGCTCCCTTCCCCCTTCTCCTGCACACAGAGTTTAAGGCTTTCCATCTTGGTTTGTAGTAAGTGTTAACCATAGTTTCCTGGGAAACAAGGAATGTCAATCATCTTCAGACTACAGCTTGAAATCACAATTTGTGAACAAACAAACCAGTTTGCACAAATCATTTTTCAGGGTTCAGAAAGAATGACAAAGGAGCAGGAGGCTTCTAATCTCAACACGTAGTTCAGCATTATGAATAGCCTCTTAACTCTGACAAAGTTTGAAATCTCCACTTAAAAGTACCGTTTTAAATCTCAGAAACAATTCTGTGCTTTAATTAGCAGGGTAGACTGTGCTCTACTGTGCTGCATGGCAGCAAGGAGCCATCCTCACCTGACGATCTCAGGACAAGGACTTATTGTCCCTCATTAAAATGTATGTGTACTGAAACAGGGTGAGTTATGTAAGAATCAGTGTACCATAACAGCAGATAGAAATTCATCCAAACGTCTGATATAGAAACGCATTGTAAGAGATCAGCAGTAGGGAACAATTTTCTCTAATACAGGAGAGGTGAATGGGTTTTGTTTTTTTTTAAAGAAACACCAGTAACATCTACTGAAACACAGATTGCAAGCTGCTAAGTACAGGTTAGGCTCAAATTATTTTCTTTTCTTTTTTAATAATAGGGGAAACCTGGTAACAAGAGAAGGGTGATCTCTAAAAGCGTCAGAAACTGGTCTATGTTAGGAAAGTTACCCTTCAACAGTTGGCAGCAGCCGACAGACAGCTGAAAAACTGCTGAACATGAGTGTGTTTTTAAACTTGCATGTAGAGGAACCAGTCAAAAAATAAGTTCAGGGTCATTCCAGGAATAAAACATATGAGATCCATTTACTGCCATCAAGATGTTTTGGGTTTTAGTGCAACATATAGGCATCAACACTCAAGAATCTCGACGCATCCTTAACAAGAATAGCTTATTAGGTTGCATTACAGGAAGCTCCAGTGCCATTTCACACATTGATAAGAGGCAAACACAGGCAAAGCCATCAGGTGTACATCCCAAAAGCTATAGCCAATCAGTGTTTTTCGGCAAGAGTACCCGTAAAATACTTATTTGCTGCAGCTGACATTAATGTACTATGTGAAATGACACATAGATTAAAAACCACATTTTGCCTATTGTTTACAGCAGCCTCCCCCAACCTTCCTGATGTTCTGGATTACAACTCCCATCCTCTCAGATATGTGACCACGCTGGTTGGAACTGATGAGAGTTGGAATCTAAAACATTGAGAGGGGACCAGGTTAGGGAATACTGAATTGAAGATTCTCATATTTTATTGGAAGTTCAAAATGGATCTTTCAAGACAGCTATTCCTGACAAAGCTGAGTGTTCAGAATAACTAATAAAAAAGAAAACTAATATCCAGGAGAGAATCTGCAAACTTATTAAGACATTTTCATCAGTCTTGTGATTAACCTCTACTCCAGGGGTCAGCAACCTTTTTTGGCAGTGGGCCGGTCCACCATCCCTCAGACCTTGTTGGGGGCCGGACTTTTTTTGGGGGGTGGGAATGAACGAATTCCTATGACCCACAAATAACCCAGAGATGCATTTTAAATAAAAGCACACATTCTACTCATGTGAAAACACCAGGCAGGCCCCACAAATAACCCAGAGATGCATTTTAAATAAAAGGGCACATTCTACTCATGTAAAAACACGCTGATTCCTGGACCGTCCATGGGCCGGATTGAAAAGGTGATCCGGCCACCGGGCCTTAGGTTGCCTACCCCTGCTCAACTCCCTCTTGCTACAAAGCCTTCATTTAGATAACAGAAAAGTCTGTCCAAAAAGGACACAATCTCTGGAGTCAATCAAAGAAACCTACCTTGAAAAGGGCTGTTAGACTGCTGGGCCAGGGTGAGATGTTCTTCACTAACAAAGTACACAGGTTGGTGCTGGTTGATTTCCACACTGGTACAAACATTGCTGTCCCCGTGCAAGAAGAAGGTGAAGGAGCAGGACAAATGTTCGCTAAGAAAGAAGCAGAAGGAAATCAAGGTGATTAGTCCAAGCAGGCATCCCAAGAAAATAAAAAGCGCAATATTTCTTTATGAACTGCCGAAGTAAGTTCTCTGTGCAGCTTACAGTAAGTAAGAAAAAGACATAAACCTTAACACATAAATACAGTATAAAAAGAATCCCTCATTCACATCACTGAAGTTAAAATACAGATATAAAAATTGAGAGGCCGTTCAAAAGATTGTTTGAATGTAGAAAAGAAAGGAATTTGGGGGGGGGGAGGAATACATTCCCAACTCAAAATGGGGGGACTATCCTTATTTTTGTCCTGCTCCAAGCAGGTAGCCAGGAATCCCTTTAGTCAAACCAGTATCATCGGCAGTGGCATAGCGTGGGTTGTCAGAACCCGGGGCAAGGCAAGTAATTTGCACCCCTAACCTGTGGATTTGCGCCCCCTAACCCGTGGATTTGCGCCCCCTAACCCCCAGATGTTGCGCCCGGTGCGGCCGGCCCCCCCTGCACCCCCCACGCTACGCCACTGATCATCGGCATTCCACATCATGCACATCAAGTGATGAGCAAGATCACACCTTTTGATGCAGACCAGAGATAAAGAACCTATTGTTCTCCAGCTGTTGTTGGCCTACAACTCCCATCATCCCTAGCCACTGGTCACACCAGCTGGGATTGCTGGTTGCTGGAGTCCAACAACATCTGGAGGATCATAGGTTCCCCATCCCTGATGTAGACATTCCCATCCTCTACTGCAGTGTTTCCCAACCTTGGGCCTCCAGCTGTTTTTGGACTACAACTCCCATCATCCTTGACCACTGGTCTTGCTAGCGAGGGATGATGGGAGTTGTAGTCCAAAAACAGCTGGAGGCCCATGGTTGGGAAACACTGCTCTACTGCACAGAGCAGAAACTGGAGGCCCCAGGACCAAATCAAGCCCTCTTAATACCAGTCCCCACTTCCCAGTTAAAAAAATCACAGACCAGAGGAATGTGTGGAGAAGCAGTTTACCAGTGGCTACAGCAACCAGACTTTGCTGGGTCCATTTTATAGGCACTAGCTGAGCACAGTTAGTTACAGTTAGTTAGCAACAGCACCTCAGAAAGTGGAAGAATATAAACTACAACACTTTGGGGAAAGGTATATTTAACCAGGCTGTTTAAAATTAATCTGTTTGTTTACACTCCATTATCTTCAATGACTAATGAGCATTTCAGAAAACAAAAGGTCTTGACTAAGGATTCAGACACTCTCCTCTTCAATTAAGTTGTAAGAGACAATGCATATGCTCCAAGGCATCCTTGGCAATCTTCAAACAAAAACCTGCAAAGTAACTCATTCTTAGCTGTCCTTAAGTAAACAAAAGCCTGGAAAATTCAGCACATGCATCAGGAACTTTAAATCCACTTGTACAGCTGCCGCCACCTCCACATACACACTTGTATAGTTGACTGAAAGGAACAATTCAATAACGAAAGATCATGTTGGTACTGCCTACATGACACACAGACTTAACATGGGAAACCTAGATATATCAGAGACAAAGGTTTAACTATCTTCTCAAGACCATTTCACATATTACAAAGATGTTGGTAACCAAAGATACTCTCTGCCAAGGGGCAGCAGACATTCACAACTACAGAGCAAGTATACAGTTCATTTTAGATGCTTCACACTTTATATGGCTGGGGGAAGCTTTACACATTATGTTTTTGAAGTAAATTAAAATAGTCATCAATAATAACAAATCATATTCAGTAGGCACCTAAAAACATAACCAAACTGGAACAAGCCCCTATCTGTGGACATATATATATAGTAGAAACTTAATTGATGCTCTGTTAATATGGCTAACGGGACGCGGGTGGCGCTGTGGGTAAAACCTCAGCGCCCAGGACTTGCCGATCGCATGGTCGGTGGTTCGAATCCCCACGGCGGGGTGCGCTCCTGTTGCTCGGTCCCAGCGCCTGCCAACCTAGCAGTTCGAAAGCACCCCTGGGTGCAAGTAGATAAATAGGGACCGCTTACTGGCGGGAAGGTAAACGGCGTTTCCATGTGTGGCTCTGGCTCGCCAGAGCAGCTTCGTCACGCTGGCCACGTGACCCGGAAGTGTCTGCGGCCTCTAGAGTGAGATGAGCGCACAACCCTAGAGTCTGTCAAGACTGGCCCGTACGGGCAGGGGTACCTTTACCTTTACCTTTAATATGGCTAACATGGCTTCCCACAAAGAATCCTGCGGATTGCAATTAAGAGAGGATGCTGAGACTTCTTCATTAGACCTCCTCACCCTACCTCTGGCCTTGTACAAGTAACATTCCCAGGGGAGCAGGAATGATTATCGTATTCATATAATGATTATTATATCAATTTAATGGTGCAATTCTATATATGCTTACCTAGAAGACAGCTACATTGAATTCAATGGGGAGGGACTACAGCACAATGACATAACACATGCTTTGGATGTAGAAGGTCCCAGGTTCAAGCCAGTTAAAAAGGACCAGATAGCAGCTGAGGGGAAAGACTCATCTTTGGCTAAGACCCTGGAGAGCTGCTCCCAGACGGTATACATTACTGGGCTAAATAGGCAAACGGTCTGATCTCATACAAAACAACTCCCTGTGCTTCTATGTAACAGAACATTTATTCTCAAGTTTGCATGCATAGGACTGCAGCTTGTTACATATGTGTGCTCTTGGTATCAGTTCCCTATCTATAAAATGGCAATAGGGACTTCTCTACAGAGGTAAATGAGAAGCATCAGAAAGTGAGGATCATAAATCACTGTGTACACCAAGTGTGTTGATGAGAAAGTCAAAACAAAAGAGCTTTGTTCTCAAATCTGAAATGTAATGCCCTGGAAATGGAAATGTGCATACAAGAACTAGGGGAAATGTTTTGTTTTTGAAAGTGGAATTAAAAACATCCTGAATGGAGGGGAGGGGGAATTACCAGCCAGAGTGTCTTAAAGATTTACAACTTTAAAAAAGTAACACTATTTTTGTTCCAGATCTTTACTCGTTTTCACAGAAAAAAAGGTTTTGTGTGAGTGCTATGACCAGAACTCACTCTCCTTCTTTACCTATGTAAAGGGTTCTCCTAACAAGTGATGAAACTACACATTTATACAGAGAGAGAGACAGAGAAAACATTAATTTCTTTCTCTCACACACATCCTTCTTGCTTGGTGGCAGGGCAGAGGGATCACAAATACCAGTACTACAAAGGAAGGATTTTGGTGATTTATAATTAGTATTCAGAGATCTAAAAATAGAGAGATAAAAAAATGGCATTTCCATACCCTCTCAATAAAGCATCTCAGTAAATGGCACAAATCCTATATTTATAGAACTAACACAGAAAATAGAAGAAAAATAAAAGCTATATGGGAGAGCTGAATTTTAGTCAGTCCCAAATCACTTTTACCCACACAGCTCAGACCCTGGAGCTATTGCTCCATCCAATGACAGCTTGAAACTGAAACCTTGATTTCTCCTCTCTCTCACCTAGCAAAGGCAGGAGAAGATGGCATATTTAATTAGGAAATTAAGCTCAGTAGGAAAGTGCTAAGATTCAACAGCACCCATTTCCTTGCAATTGCAGCAGGTAATGTACCTAATTTGTGTTTGGGTTGCAATGATGCCTATTTGACCAAAATTCTAAAAGCCATGCTAGTTCCTCAAGCGCACACACACACACTGGGGAAGTGGTTTCACATCTGTCATAGAAAGAGATATCACATGAAACCCCACCTCTAAATCAAAGACATCAGAAAATAGGAGTGTGTTCAAATCACCAGTCAAACATAAAATCTACTGTTTTATGTTTGTGTTGGGTACTTCCCTTCTGTGCCATTCACAAGCTACAGCTCTCAACTGTCATGTCAATAATGATTTATCATTATCCCTTATAGTATTAAACTCCGGAGGAGGGGGGGATACCCCAAACACTGACAAAAGCAGAGAAATCACTGCATAGTCAAGATGTTGTCCTTACGTCAGGGGCAGTCTGTGCTGGATCTTCCAGCACTAGCTCAGAACACTTCCAGCACTCATTTTCAGCTGGGCATGTGCCAGTTCTTATGCAGCTGCATCAAACAACTTTCACAGTTTAGCTCAGACAACTGAAAATAAAAACTGAGCAGATTTATCACCACTAAAAAAAAAAAAAAAGCAAACAAGCAAGCAAAAACCCCAGCAAACCTGGCAAGACCCAAAGTCACAATTCAAATTATGAGCAATGAAGCTGCTGCATTCGAATAATTGGGGATGTTACCTAGCTCTTTTGAGAAAGCTGCAAATCTAAGAGGCAGGTGCTACCTCGGTAAGGCATGATAGAACTGTTTTTGAAGAGAAACAGCCTAAAAAAATAATTAAAAGTGGGAAGCATAGCCCCAAAGGAATGCACTCTGTGCTACCAGACAGGCATTCACAGGAGATCATCAGAATGAAAACAAGATCATAAGAATATACGAGCCCTGCTGGATCAGAAGGAAAAAATGCCTATCAAGTTCAGCATACTGTTCTCACTGTGGCCAAGCAGAGCACAGCAGTATTCTCCTGCTTGTAATCTCAGTAGCAGGTATTCAGTTATTAGTGTGCCAGCAACTCCCCATCAAGCGTACTATATTTACCGATATTTTCTACATCTAAGCGAGGGCAGAATCACACACACAAGACGAGGTTCACAGTTTAGCAGGCTTAGCTTATTCACCATGGGTGGCACTCAATGCTAGTCATACTCATTGAAATCAATGGTCTGCTCTCTGTATTACATAGCTGGATATCACCTAATGGGTATAATCCAAATTAAAGTACTTTGAAGTCCCAATAATTTCAATGGGAGAGATTAAAGCAGCTGCTAAATACTTCTACTGACGGCAATGGAGCACAGAAGTAGTTTTGAGCAGGTGTGTGCAGCAACTGAATTTCCAACATTCACTGTCTTATTAGCATTGCAGGCAAATTCTTTAATTGGGTCTTCCATATCTTTAATTTTTT